ATACTATTTATACAATATTATAGTGTCCCATAAAGCTAGGAAGGATGATTCATAGGATCTGGTGTAGATGAAGTTGAGTAGTGGGCAGCACAGCCACTTCAGAAGAAAGGAATAGCTGGCAAAGCCATTAAGAAAGAAACTCTGAGATTATATCAAAATGATTAGCCATCATGATCCAGATTTGACCTTTTAAAAAATTTTATCCTCTGTATCTGACATAAAATTTACATGTGAAAATAATAGGACTATTATACTTAAAATTAAAATATTCAAGGACATCAGCATAATGGAGAAGCATACCAGATAAAGGAGATTTGCATTTTCAGCAGCCAAAATTAACATAAAAGGCTAGATTTACTGTATGCTTCTCCCTATATTTACTTATTTGTATTCGTGAACTATTTTTACTTATATTTGGAGTATTTAAACAAATTTATTATTTTTAAATTTCAGTTTTTTGGTTCAGTTTGATCTCATGTGGAATGGCTGTAGCTATAACTCCAGGAAACGAGTGGGGAAACCCCATCATATATTTTTCATTAAGGGTTTCTTACCACTTACTGAAACCCACCAGGCACAGCTCATAATATTTCTCATATTATTTATAAATGCCCAGCACATTCCTGTCAGAAAATTATTATTGATAATAAGAAAATTGATGAAAAGGTTAATGGAAAGATTGAAGTATTATCTCCAAGGTCAAACAGCTATCACATGGAAAACCCAGGAGCCTCAAGTCCCAGCTGCATGCCTTATGCGCTTACTAACTTTATTGGAAATTCCCCAACCAGCCCACTTAGCTCCTATAACTTGCTGTAAGGCCATGCTTTCCCTGAGGAGAAAAAACTTCAGCATCATTTCTGAAAAGGGCTCAGTTATCTATACACACACACACACACACACACACACACACACACACACACACAAAAGCAGCTCCAAGCAGATGGACTGGAACAGAGAGTTCTCCCTGCCTTCCTGGGATGGTCTGTTTTAATTGCCTCACAAATGACACCAATTCTCCTTTTGCCTTTGTGCCAGGAGCCAACCAAATGCTGTTTCTTTTCTTTTCCTTTTTTTTTTCTGGGCAATATAGACACCAACTTGTGACAAAATAATTACAAATCTAATCAAACTGTAGACCTAGAACTTGTATTTCCAGGTCAAATCATAGCCAGTGGTAAGGATTATTTTCAAAGAAAAGATTTTGTGTAGTGAGCCTTCCTTAATGATAGCATCAATACACCTAAAGACTAAAGCTGGGAACAAATTAGTTGGGCCCCTTGAGTGAACACAAGAGAATTTAGGAAGAAGAAGAAGATGAAGATAAAAGAGAAGAGGAAGAGGAGGAGGAGGAGGAGGAGGAGGAAGAAGAGAAGAAGAAGAAAAGAAGAAGAAGAAGAAGAAGAAGAAGAAGAAGAAGAAGAAGAAGAAGAAGAAGAAAAGAAAAAGTGAAACATGCTTTTATTTTTCTTTTATTCAAATATTGGCAAGCACAACTGTAAACTTGAGTTTGTCAAAATTTTGTTCAGGGGTCCATTTATGTATGTGCCCTGACTCAGTTACATATCCAACAAAGAGCATTTATAAATTTTGGTTTGTTACATAAGTATTTGATTCATCTGAAAAAACTATTTTTGTTGTTGTTGAGTTTAGGAAACCATTGTCTTCATTCCCCACAATTAGGTAACAAATCCCCTCACATTTAATTAGCAGTCACTCCTTTCTGCATTATCCGAAGTGCTTCCTCTGCTGTGTATGGCCTTACATGGGCATGAAAGTTCATGGAAGATGTTTTGTATATTGTCCTTTAGTGTTGACACAAATACTGTAGCAGTGCCTACACTATCCAGTAAGAAATTAAAATTTAACTATGGGTAATTTGAAGATCATTCTTGCCCTTCAGAGCCAGCATACATCTTAAACTTCTTTGTTGCTAATTATCTTAAGCTACTCTGGACACTCTGGGATTTCATATTCACTTTAGAAGGTTGAGGTTTCCTGAGAAAAACCAAAGGATTTTGATGGGTAGGGTACTGATAATTAGAATCTTTGATAGATGTCTAATTTACAACTGTACTTACTAATGAACTGGATTATGATATTTCACTGTCCACTGGTCAAATCATGAATGACTTAACAGAGTCAGTTCTCTTCCACAAACATTGGCCCCTAAGAATTTAAGTCACCAGGCCTAGAGGCAAGAATCGCTATCTAACAAATTAGCTAGCAAGCTCCCAGCCATTACTTTACATTGGAAGCTTCAAACAGCTTATATTTCACAGCCTACATAATTGTGAACCCTAGCTGCCATTCTATGCTGCAGGGCACTAGAACTTATTCCTTCTATCTGGATTTTGGTGCCTTTTATCCAAAATTTCTTTTCCCCACCTCCCACCCCATCTCATTGCCAACCTCTAATAGCTGCTATCCTGAATTGAGATCAGTAGTTTACTTAGCCTCCACAGGAAAGATAAAACATGGTATCTATGTTCTGTATCTGGCTTATTCATGTCACATGTGTCCTACAGATATATCTGTGATGCCACAAATGACTAATTCATCTTTCTTAGTAGCTGAATGACATTGTTTTGCAATTAATTGTTAATTTTGCTCCTTAAATCTATGTTGATTAAAAAATATCAATTTTCACCTGCATTGTTTTAAACATATGTGCTAGTTTATAAAAATGCTAAACGCATAAAGTCTTGCCAACATGACCACCCAAACAAAAGGATTGCACTAATGGACATGCCACACTGGATGGGGAAAAGCCTCAATCCTTGAGCTACACAAAGAGCTACAAGCAACTGAGAAAAGCTAGGAGTAGGAGGGTTGGTCTTTCCCAGGAAAGACTACACAAATTGATTATCCAGTACCAAATGGTCAGCACTGAAAACATACAAACAAGTAACATTATATGGACTGAACAGTTTCTACTTAGGAATACATGTGTATATACAAATACATATCTGTGTTCCATAACAATTAATGCATTTGAAGAATACGGGGTGGGGGGTATTGGAGTGTTTGGAGGGAGGAAAGGAGAAATAGAATGATTAAATTACAATCTCAAAAATAAATAACAAAACCAAAATAAATGGCAAATGACCTTTTTATATCATTCTGATATACAAAATTTGTTAACCACTCTTGATAAGCCTGATAATTTTTAAATACTTTGGCACTTCTAGAAGGAAATAATATCACCTAATAACAATAAATGTTTCCCTTTAATTTCAATTGTGAATGAAATTTTTTCTCATTTTACTCTGTCTATTAAGAATTTTAGCACAATAGTAAATCGAGGCAGTGATACCAAACTGTTTTATCTTTAACTTGGAAAACTCATCATCATTGGCAATGAATATGTTTGTTGGAGAATTTTAGAGACCTATCGTGAATTTAAGAGACTCCTCTTTTCTGGGTCAATTGAGAGCTGCATTCCACTAATTTGGTAAGCAGAATTTTAACATCTATTACCAAACATAATAAAAACTTTATTGTTTCATCTTTGATGTGGGAGTTTTTTAGAAAATCATTTTAATATCCATATATCAATAAGAGTATATTTTATATTTAGTCATTATTTATTGGTTATAGCCAAATGAATCTGTTGTTTGAGTAACGGATGTCCCTCATCAGCTGCTAACTAGTGTGTCTCGTCAATATGCACATCTGCATTAGTTTTCATTTCCCCATTCTCTACTCAGAAAAACAGATACAGCCACTGTTATTCAAAGTGAGAGCATGAATTTCGGTAGAACAGAATTGGAGTTCATCACTTCACAAATGGGAACTGGATCAGGTGAAATGACTTTGAAGAATGATGCTGGGAAAAAGAAAACTTGGGAAAATATAAGCTATCCTAGTACAGAAGTGTAAATGCTAGAGCACTTCATTAAAAAAAGCTTTAAGTTGACTTAATGCATGTTTTTTAAGATTGAAAACTAAACACACTTTTGTTTAGTCATATTGAAAATACATAATTTTGAGTAAAATTCCAAAACTTAATATGAAAACTTATTATTCAAAATTCACAATCCTAAAATGGAAAGGTAATTATTAAATAGCTTCTGGGTGAGGCTTCACTTTATTGTTTGTTTTTGATACAGAGTCTCACTGTGTGGCCCTGACTGACTGGCCCAAACACACTTTGTACACCAGGTAGACCTTGAACTCAGAGACCTCCATGCTTCTGCCAACTGAGTGTGTGATTGAGACACCACTTGCCTGGCATCTCACTTGGGTCTGTATTTCTGGAGTTACTGAAGCCTTGAAACTTCAGTAATACTTCTGGGAACTATTGCTTCATTATGATCATATAATTTTTGTTTTTGTGACAGGAAAATGTTCACTTTTCAGTCTTGAGTGCAGCACCCCTCAGCAGACAGATTTTGCAGTTACCAATTAAAAGATACTGTTCAGCAATTTCCCTGCATGATCAACTAACTTTGTCTCTCTCTGATACATCAAAGAGTATTTCTATTAAAATTCCTCCAAGGTATTCATCACCAACTGCAAGCCTTGGACTTTCTTGAATTTGTATTTGCTTTATGAGTTATTGCTGAGAGCCCTGTCTAAAATCCAGTAAAAGAAAGAAAATGAGAATTGTTTTCCACAAAGACTATCACAAACAGCAGAGATCAAAACGCAGTTCTACTACTTACTCTGTGCAATCTAACTTGCATAAGATTAAAGAATGATTTTAATTGTCAAACTTTGAAATTTTATTAAATGTTCGTGGCAATGTATTGAATGAATCCCAGACATACATAAATAAACAGGCAGCTGTTTGCAATTTCCATTTTATCAGTTTTGAAAGAGCACAATGTTCTTCCTGCATCTTATTTTCAGAATTGCATTTTATCATCGTTGGCTATCCACTAATACTATGGAGTACTTGAATATCTCATTCTTTGAATTTTCATTTTTGATTGTAAATCAGGTGATGGCTGGCACTTTTCTCTTTTCTCATTTTTCTCTTCTCTCAACCTCCAAGTTTACTTACTCCCATTTCTTCTTGGCTCTAATAACAAAACATACAAAATATTTCATTTTCTTTACATTTTGATTTGGGGCATCACTAATTCATATTTCTTTTGTTAATTACCATGAAATCTAAATGCAAAACTAAAACCACGCTTAGTGTTCTATTGTTTTTAAAAAGGACCTTAAAGCTTACTAGATATCTTTTCAATGCTTTTGAAGCATTGCATTTTAGATGGAGGGTTAAGGAGAGATTGAATTAATATTGCACATAAGTCTGCATTTAGGGGGACACCCAGGATGAATGGAATGAACATTCTATGATATGAAGACAGGTACTGCCATTTTTCCCTCTGCTATGTGCCTATCAGGATGGACATGTGGCCACAGGGGAAGACTGGCAATGAGAATATCTCCAGCCACCTTTAGCTTTTGTCCCAGATCGTCATAGGCAACCAACCCTTTCCTCGCCTCTCCCAATACACCCATAGCATCCTGCAAACATTTTCCCAAAAGACTCCCAGGTCTATTTACATTCCCTTGGTTTGGGCTGCTGCGCCTCAGAGGAATGGCAAGTGGCAGCTTGTGCTTTCTGTTTCTTCCCTCCAGCAATCCATCTGCCCACTGGGAAATGTCACAATGGCTGTTCTGTGCCCTAGCAAGAATATGTGTGGAAGAAACACAAGCTAATCTTCCTCTTTTCCTTCTGAGGATGACAACAACAACTGGAAAGGATGGACTTGGGAGTTACCAGTTTCTCAGTAAAGGCATGTAAGAAAACAAATTTGCACTTTATAAGATACTACTCATTTTATAAAGTATTTTACAATATGTAGATCTTAAATATAAGAACTCGCTCGTTCTTCCTGAGTTAATAGACCTTTATACACAAATTCAGTAATTTCTTAGTCACTTCCCTTTCATAATTCAGTCCCATTTAAAGATTTTTCTTGGAGTTTTGTTCCTCCCCTAATCTTTGTGCTGCTGTTCCTAATTTCTGGGATGGGACAAGAAGAATGGTAGCTGTCAAAGAGAGAATACGTAATTTTGACCTGCCTAGGGTTTCATAAACTTTAGCATGCACTCTAATCACCTGGCCATGTTGCTAAGATGGGATCCTGCCCAGCAGGTGTAAGAGATTTCATGTTTCTAATGAGTTCCCAGGGGATGACATTGCAGTTGATCCTCAGATTATGCTCGAGTGAACAAGAGTTTGCTCGATGGATGCTGGGCTTCAATCTAGGTATGTCTCTATTATCTGTTGAGATTACAGCTAGGTGCCACTCTCGCCCCAATAGAGCTCAACAACAAGCATGTCTCCCTGAAGTTCATCCCTTCACTTGTAGCCTGGTCTCCCTCTCTCTCTTTCAAGGGCTGTCTCCCAGTGAAGCCTCACAGGACTGTGTGATGCCTACCTGAGTAACCTTGACACTTAGAATTCTCAAGACACTGTCTTCAACCTCTCATGTGAGACCGGGCCTGCCTTTCCCATGACCATATGACTCTGAGACGTTCTTCCCAGAGCTCTTCCCCCTGCTCTGCACCTGAAGCACAATGAAGCCCTGCATGGATGCAAAGATTCTCTGCTACACATAGGTGGTGTGTACTCACATTCTGAAGTACTTTCCCATCCCCCAAATATTTCTACTGCTGTTGTCTGACTATTTGGTTTGGGGGGGGCGCTGAGGTACGAAATTAACCACTCTGACTGTATTAGAGCAAAGCACATATCCTTAAAATTCCAAACGCATCCCTCTCAGAAGGAAACTATAGCAAGAAAAGCTGTAACTTAGAAATGCCTAGTTCCTTCAAGGATTTTCATCGTAACTTCACTTTTGTTTTCTCTTTCCTCTCTTCCCTTTTAAATTGTGTTTGATCACATGTAACTGTCCAGCCAAAGTTAAGAGAAAATATAGTCAGTTAAATAATGCTGTATCAACATTCTCTTGCAGCATACTTTGGTTTGAAATAGGAGCTGTCTGCAGTATATAAATGTATACCAATCCTGGTTACTGACTCACAGTTGACCCCAAATGAGGTTTTAAAGAGTGTCATATAAGCCAGGTGTTAGTGGTGCTCGCCTTTAATCCCAGCACTTGGGAGGCAGAGGCAGGCAGATTCTGTGAGTTCAAGGCCAGCCTGGTCTACAGAGCGAGTTCCAAGACAGCCTCCAAAGCAATACAGAGAAACCCTGTCTCGAAAAACCAATAAATAAATAAATAAATAAATAAATAAATAAATAAGTAAAGATAGATAGATAGATAGATAGATAGATAGATAGATAGATAGATAGATAAATGTCATATAAACTGTTTAGTTTGGAGAAAGGAAAATACCTAGTTTTCATATGAACCTTCTGTAAGGCTTTGTTATAAGAGCTTATGGAACCAGAATATTTTAAAATTACTAGGACATTCATTTGGATACAAGTTCCCTACCTGAGTTATTTCTTCTGAAAGATTCATTTCTGAGGAGTAATTTGTATTCACTGTAATTTCTAAGCAAATGAAGACATCATCCTATTTAGCAAAAGACCCACCTGTGGTCAGGACCTCTATAAATGTCTAACCTGAGATTCCAAACATTCTTGCTCCCTTAGTGAGCAAGTGTATAACAAGGGGGAGAATACAGTCATTTGATAACCTCTTTGGTGATCAAATTCATGGACTGATAGCCTGTACCAACTACATCTATCTATGGTAAATACAGCAAGAGAGTATCTTATTCATGCTAAATATGCTTCTATATATTTGTACTGTATTATAGCTTAGCATGTGCAATTATTACATTATTCTGTTTGATGGAGAGGAAAAAAAGAGTGTAACATGATAAAAGACCCAGAGAAGGATAAACAGTATCAAAAGGTTTTCTGATAACACATAAAGAGGAAAAGCTGAACCCATGAAACAAAGTATTATTAACTTGCCACTATACTAGGGGACTTATAACGTTACATATAACGACGTGATCTTGAAACTTTTAACTTTAAATGTTTTAAAATCTGTTTCTTGACCTAAGAACTTGTAATTTATTTCTAGGACTACATGGCACATTAAAAGTTACCAGCAAGTACTTACCTGGATATATCTTTTCAGTTTTTGAATATGTTTTTGAAAAAGGAATTCTTCTTCGCCAGGCTGAACCATTATATGACGTGGGCATATGTTTATCTGAGAAAATAAAAAAAGAAGACTGCTAGCAAATAAATATTGCTGAATTCAACAACTATATTCCAAGAGCATTTCATAGCCATAAATATCTCAGCAGTAAGAATCATCCCCCACTTGTTTCCTCTACCATTTGAAAACTAAGGCAATGGATACAAGTGGGTTTATTAAGCCCGTTTAAATAATCAGCAAGCATGGTTACAGATCTATTAGTTTACTCTTCATTTCCTTAAATAAGGCTCTATATCCCATGAGCTTAGTCTAGAAGACAGAACTGTATCTGGATACAGTATTTCACAGACTTTCTTCTGTGACAGTCTTAGGAATAGAGAGGCCATGAATTTGAAAGAGAGCAAAGAGGGGCATGTGTGGGTTGGGACTTGGAAGGAGGAAAGAGAAGGGAGAGATGGTATAATTATATTATACAATCTTAAAAATAAAAGAAAATAAATGTTTCGAACAATACATCACCCACTGTGTGTAACATTTTTTAAACTTTATTTTAAAGACAAGTCGCATTTGCTTCCAGTGAGAAAACAGTGACCACAGAAATTGTGAACTTGAGGCCCCAGGAAGCCAGAGCAGGCACACACACACACACACACACACACACACACACACACACACACACAAAGTTGTCTATAAAGACATGCTTTTGTCTACTCCCTAACACTGTTAGATTTGCATTCTCAGGGTTATTAGCACATATCTATAGTTCTCAGAGTTTGGCTCATAATAGTATCAAGAGTTTTCTTTGTTGTGTCATTACTGTATGTTGATATTTGCATGAATGAGGTGCAGAAGTGTCCAGTAGAGTTGCCAGCACATCCAGTTCACACAGATCTAGACTTTGGCAACACACTGTGCTAGTGCACATTGTTTTCATAGCTACCACAGTATTGCAGGAAAAAAGAACACATCGCATACTAGTTTGGCAATGCAATTAAAACAAGTTTCTTCTCAGTGCATACACGTTTGCTATACATATCCATACACCATTATATTCTAAAATAAGCAATTAAAATGAAACATCTACTTAAGTTGTTAAAGACAGACAGAATCTTTGCCTACATTTCCAGAAGTTCTTGACTACCAGAACTCACAAACTACACTGTAAATACAAACCTACAACATGAATTACAGAGAACTGAAACCCAACTTCAAAAGAGCAAAATTCATCTAAAGCAGGAAGAAAAAGAAATTCTCCCCTGTGACCGTGTACTTCCTGACATACGCCATGCCTTTTCCCCTTCCATAATGAAACGATTTAGAAGGGCATGGTGGGAGAGATGAGAGGTTGTCAGAAATATTGCAGTTAACCCTCAAACCAACCCTTTCAGAAAGTAATCATGATGTCCTCAAGAAAAGACAGGGCGGTAATCTGACAGTCATAATTGAACAGTGCACTTAGTAGAACAAGAAAATGTCAACCACGTAAAAATAATCCTCCCCGGTGAAATAAAACTACCCAGGGTGAACAAAGTGCAGTGCATGGAGGCAAATCTCTAAGGAGGTACGGTGTCACCTCATCAGCACCCAGCATGAGTATTCTTCCATGTCCTTTAAATCATGTGCAGGGATAGTTAGTATCGAAGATGTTAGAATGATGCTAGTTCAGGAAAAGCAGCGAAAGGGAGAAGTGGAGTTCAGCTTTCCATGAGGAATGCTACACTAAGGCAAAGTGCAGTCAAGAGCGAACCACATCAATAAAGAACCTCACCTGGGCAGAGGTTGAGTTTGGGTTCCTTGTTGACATCATCTTTGTTGTAGGGCCCACTTGTGGGCCTGCTTCGGGGTGGGGTGTTCAGTGTGACAGTCCTTACTGAATCTCTTTGGACATGCATATAGGAGGCGTTCTCAGCATTTCGGTTCTTATTATGGTGATGGTAACTCATTTTGTGTTTGGGATTTGGGGTGTGTCCTGCTGTAAATCAAAAGGGTAGAGAAGAGGGATAAAACAAGCCAGGCTCTCATTCATAAAAATGCACAGCATATGAAGCATGGGGTAGCAAAATAGAAAAAAAATCTAAGCTAAAGAATGACATTCAGAGAAGAGCTGGGTTAACCTTAAAGTAGACTTCAAGTTATACGGCAATCATTTTTCCTTGGAGTGGGAAATATTTAATATCATAATTAGAAATCATAATTAGAAATACCAAACACTTGGATATTCTACCTCTCCGCATTCCAGAGCCAGGAAAGTTCTTTGGTTCATCATAAATCCATTTTCTTTTCTTCACACCTTTAAAATGAGGCTTCCTCACTGGCTGGACATCATTCACTTCGAGAAGATACAAATTTTTACAGTTTTTAAGAGATGCTTTTATCTGAAGATGACTGAGGTGATAATTACCCATCTGTGCGTTCTCACATCAAGCATGTATGCCACTCTAAAACTAGCTTTTAGAACAAAGAGTGACTGGTTTTTAACTGTCAAAAAATATTCCCTCTTGGAAATACATTAATGAGAGAAAAAACCTTCAATAAATTGCTTTCCTTTAGAAATGTTTTTTTATTGTTCTCCAAAGGAATGCGTGGGCTCCTTAAAATAACAGAAAAGTGCACTCCAATCATAATTACAAATCCCAACATAATGCTATTCTAAGGTCATAATTGTGATCTTCAAAATAAATCTTTTTGTACTTTATAAGCCCAAACTACTATTTCTTAATGAGTTAGGTTAATACACAAAGCATTTTTATTGAATGTCACCTCATTCTTTTTAAAGTGTTATGCACTTGAGTACACAGATAGCTTGGTAGAGCAAGGCTGACTACAAGAATTTATAAGCCTTCAGTCATATTTGTCTCACATGTTATATGGATATATGCATGTCAAAAAGACTGCATGTATTCTCAGTTTTCAAGGCTTTCTAAGGAATAGTTTTCAGAAATTCTTAAGCCAGTTTTTTAGAAGCATTCTGCTATTCACAAATGACTACAAGGAAAATGAGCATCAGTGTACAGACACCGTAACTCTCCTTAGTAGGCTAAAGAGTCTGTGTTTGCCTTAGCTCCCAAACTTAGCTTAAGCGTTAAGCCCTCAGAATCTTCGCCTCCTCCCCATATCTCACTCCCAAACTCCCACACCTCAGATTCCAACATCCAAAGTTATAACAAGTACTATTAACATGAGTTTCCTGAGGGAAGTTATTGTGGTTCTCCTTCAGTGCCTGAGAGCCAAGAATATTAACATGAGTTCAGCAAATGAAACAAGGCACGGGGGAAGGAGAGAATGAACGAGGCAGATTCCATCAAAGTAGCAGCTCAGAGCACCAATGCCCAGGAGAAGCCAAACAGAGAAAAATGATCCAGAACAATTGCAAAGCTGCCGGTATGGTCTACGATGGGCAAAAACTAACATGCTGTGCCAATGACCTTCTGCACAGGCAGCTTACTATTATGTTATTATGTACCTTAAACTGGTGGATGTGATTTACTAGGGCCTATATCGCAATCTATACTCTGGACTTAGAAGGAAAATATTGTTCATTTACTACTTCAAACAGCAGACTTTTCAAACCACGCTTCTTCCTTTCCTTTCCTTTTTCAGACTTTATTGAAAATAAGAAAATTACACCCATAATAAGACAACAAAAGCAAGTTCTAAAAGTGACAGAAGCGCTGTCTTACTTGAAGAGGGGTTCTCTCTGCACTTCACGCCGATGTTCTCAGTAGCATTTAATACATGTGTTGCAGGGACTAGGCGAGTAGCTAGGGGACGCTTTGGATGTAGACTGTCCTTGCTTTCTTCTGAAACCAATTAAGAAAATGAAATATTAGGGGGCTGGAGAGATGGCTCAGCAGTTAAGAGCACCTGCTGCTCTACAAGAGGTCTCAGGTTCAATTCCCAGCACCCATATGGCAGTTTGAAACTGTCTCTAACTCCAGTTCCAGGGATCCAATGCCCTCTTCTGACTTCAGTGAGTCCTGCATGTAAGTAGAATGCAGACATGCATGTAGGCAAAACACCCATAGACATAAAATTATAAAATTAATTATGTAATTAATATAATTTATACAATTATAAAATAAAGAAAACATTAAAATGTCAATATTGGTAAGAGAAACACTTCAGATGGGCACGTCTACTATGTGTATGTGTCAGTTTCTAGAATACATGTTAAAATTATCTAATTGCCACACTATCCCTCAAGTATTGATAAAACTTTAAAAGCTCTAAAAACTGTGACTATCATTTCAATGCACAAGTGGAATTTCTGGGTTTTGATATCTCTTTGAAATTTTTAAGTATATTGCATATTTTACAGGGATTACACCCATTTAGGTTCTCAAGACAATTTCAATAGGACCACGTTCATTTGCTCTTTGCTCAGCAGAGGGACTATCCAATAATCTCTCCACAGTTATGAGAATGTTCTCAGTCTGTGCCACTACACATAATAGCCAGTAGCCATGCGTGTCTTTTTACCACTTGGTGTGGGGGCTAGTGCAGTTGGAAAGCTGAATTTAGAACTTTATTAGTTACAATTAAATTTAGGCACTCATACATAGCTAGCTAATGGTCTCCAAATTAATATAGCTGGGGTTCCCCCCAAAAAAATTTCTGTAATGGATTAGGGGGAAAAGTTAACTCTGAATATGAGACAGATTTACATGTAATTTTCCACTAAATAACTTGACATAGATGTCTTTTCCTGCTTGCCCATCCACCACAGCATGCCCAGCTGCAGGACAGAGTAGCACAAGGCTCTCAAGCAGACATTAACAGTGTCTCTGGAATATTCACAGGTTGTTGTTAGCAATTATTTTATAATGGGTATGTCATCACAAGAATGAATCTCTCCAAAATGTTCATGAACAATGCTTCTAAGCAGATACAGTCACTCTGTTTTAAGTTGCTAAAAAATTGAATGGTCTTGGTATTCCCATTTAAGGAGCCCGATAATTTTACATCTGAACGACTCCTCCTTGGAATGTCACTGTCCAATAGATGAACTTTCCACAGTAGGAAACAGGCTATAAAACTTAAAACAATTAAGCTCACAGCCAGTTCAGAGCCTTGGGGCTCTGGTGTCCCATTCAGTTCTTTTCGTCGTATTACCTTTTTGGTTACATTTGGTTTCCATAACAACTAAGATGTCCATTTAATTTATCTACCCAATGTACAGATGAGTCAATTTTATAACATGGTTCATTACCTTTGACATTTGAACATTTGGAGGTGATATCTTTCACTTCTGCTAATGCTTCACTTTCATTCACTCCAAGAAATATGATCCTCTGTGGAGCATAGCAGTCACCTCCTGGAAAAAAACATTCCAGTCAGGAGTAGCAATAGTGACAAGAGACACATGACTGCCTTTCAATAGAGGAATGATGTTCATATCTCTGATGTCCACTTTTGTTTAAATATGTCTCTGATTATTCTATTCCCATATCAATACATATTCTATCATACATGCTTAGGTTAGTGCATGTGTATTAGCTATGTTATTTGAGCGGCCAGTGTGTAAGCTTACATATAGATAATTGCAAGAAAATTCACATATTCAACAGAATTAACTTCCCTCTAATATAGTGATCTTTAGAGATATCCATAGTAAATGTAACTTACCCTTCATTTGAAATCTCCAAATATATAAAAGCAGTTATGCTTTCCTTAAAGGTCTTCTATATTTTTTCAAGCTAAATACACATATTAACTTTAAATGCTACAGATAATATTCATAGTTCATTCACCATGCAATTTATTCTACTGAGTAAAAAAATTATTTGTTTTAGATAACCATCTTCAGGCTCAGAGATGGCTCAGTGGTTAAGAGCACTGGCTGCTCTTCCAGAGGACCTGGATTCAATTCCCAGCATCCACATGGCAGCTTACAACTGCCTGTGACTCCAAGATCCGACACCCTCACACAGACAAATGTGCACATAAAATTAAAATAAATTTAAAATAAATATTCATGTTGTGTGTGTGATGTATTTATGTGTACATTCATATATTCTCCTGTCTACAGCTCCCATCTTGCACATGTGTGTGTGTGTGTGTGTGTGTGTGTGTGTGTGTGTGTTTCAGTAGATGGAGACTAATACAGAGATTCACAAGTAGTTGACATGGAAAAAATAAGAGATGATAGAGTGCACAACTCAGAAGATGACATCTATTCCATCAACCCAAGGCTCAGTGATCATCAAGTAAAAACAGGAAGAAGGATTGTGAAAGGCAGAGGTAGTGGATGTCTTCAGCAAAACAATATTTGCCTGACATGGCAGCACCATTGCACACACCACACACACACACACACACACACACACACTCACAGAAGCTGTGACTGCATGCCCAAAACCTGCATAAAATCAGGCCAATCAAAATGGCAGCATGAATGGAAGAGGGGCTCATGAAGTTCCACCCCTAGATGAAGAACTATTGGAAAGTGAAAGCTGCTGAGGTATATAGGGAGTGAGTTTTCTTCAGAGAAGTGATCCTGGAGAGGCTATCTATGTTCCAAAAGACGGTTCTACACCCATACACTCACAAGGAGACCAAGTGGACTCTGAGTTTTTAGAAAGGACGCATGAAGCTAGGAGGGGAGAGGTGGTACAGGCAAACAGAAAGGCACTGGAATGGAGCCAATAAGGGTAGATTTTATACAGAGACCGCATATGCATGAATGGAATACTCAAAGAATAAAAAAGTACCATTGAAAAAATAGCCTTGAGAGCCTCAAAACCTAGTCCAAAATTTCAGCAGTCCTGTACTGCCTGGAAGGCACAATCTGGAGTGTATGCCTTCCCAAGGTAGAGAGAGCTTAATGACTAGTCCAATGAGCTCACAGTTAAAATCCAGAAAGATTATGTCTTAGGAGTGATGGCCTTGTCTTTGGAATGACCACTGTAACTTTAAAGAAAGGACAAACAATACATCACCTATTATGTCTCTTTCAATAAAGGCTCAAAACCACATGGTACAAGCTGGTGTACTCGCTGCCCATGGAGAAGCACCTTCTCAATGGGAAAACAACTTCAGCCAGACATTTTTTTTTAAAGATTTTATTTATTTATTATATATTCAACATTCTGCTTCCATGTGTATCTACATACCAGAAGAGGGCACCAGCTCTCATAACAAATGGTTGTGAGCCATCATGTGATTGCTGGGAATTGAACTCAGGACCTCTGGAAGAGCATCCAGTGCTCTTAACCTCTGAGCCATCTCTCCAGCCCCAGCCAGACATTTTGTAGTATTTTACTTGCAATGTCCAGCATCTAATTAAAGCGAAGGTGTACTAGGAAAAACACACATTTATCAAAACTGGAGTAAATTGAAAATGATCTAAGTATTATAAAACAGCAAGGTAGAAAAAAATAATAACATGCCTATTACAAAAAAAATTCAGAAGTTTTAGGTGGAGATTTCTTTAAAAGGTCAAAGCAAAGGTAGAATTATATTTTAAAAGGGCAAAAATAAAGCACTAGCAAGCAAGACTTCAGGTCAGCAGGAGGGCTCCAGTTGTATCTAGAGTAACTCAAAATAAAAAGTGAACTTTAAATGGTATTGAGATAAAAAAAAAAACTTGACAAAAGATAAGTCAAGGTAGACAGTAAACCCATGAAAATGTGTCCAATGTCATTAATAATCAGGGAAATGTGAATTAAAATGACAATGAGGTATTACAAGGTATCCAATAGAAGAGCTAAATTTAAGGGAGGGATAGCCACAAGCTGGAAACCAAGTCTATTGTTGTTACTTCTTGTATTTTTCACAAACACCACACAGGGAGGTAAGAAATTTGAATTCTCAGCTGCACACATTCCTTAATGAGGTCCAGTGAGGTGATAGGTTCAGCATTCTTGCCTGTGTTTTCATGCAGAGATACAACACAGGATGGGACTTTCAGGGGGACAATGCAGCATCGCAGCATCGTGCCATCTCTCTAATGCAAGGGAAACTGCAAGGGATCTGAATCCTAACACTGGCACCTGCCTAGTGACAAGCCCGAGCAGAGTCACTTAATGCTTCTGGACTCAGTCTTCTCTCTGAAAATATAGACAGTTTAATGTTTGCTCATTCAGTGTTCATGCCATCTTTACAGCTGCCGCAAATAATGGGAATTCTTTCTCCCCACCTCACATCCCTCTCGTGTGTGTGTGTGTGTGTGTGTGTGTGTGTGTGTGTGTGTGGGTGTGTGTGTTTGTGTGTGTGTGTGTGCGCGCGTGCGTGCGTGCGTGCGTGCGTGCGTGCGTGCGTGCGTGTGTGTGTGTGTGTGTGTGTATGTGTTCAGAAAGAAATGCATCCATACATAGAATATGTTTTAAATAGGTACATGTAAATGTATATATGTTCTATCTCCTTGTATGCATATGGATGTATATGTATGAAAATTACATGTATATGTATGAAAATTTCAGCAATGTCTAGGAGTTACTGCAACAGTCAATGATGTGGATATGTCTCACACAATTCAACTTAAATACTAAACTAAAATACTCAAATTGAAGGAGCCCAAAATGTACATTTCCACTTACATAGCAATTAAAAATGTAAAACTAAACTGTGGGGGCAGAGCTCAGAGTAGGGAGGTGACTATTGCCTTTGTTAGTCCATTAGTGACTGACAATAAAAAGCTGATTTACGTGGCATTGGAATATAACAGAACAATGTGTAAAAAGAGGATGTCAAGGTAGCCAAGGAGTTCATAAAAAAATATATGACCACATAGGTGGGTATGCATGTGAATTTTCCCCCAAGCTATAGACCTCAGAATAACATGTTTCAATAAATTTAATGTTCAAGAAGACATTTAAAATGATAAAATTAAAAGTAACGCTTCATATGCTTAAATTAAATATGGACTCACTAGCTACAGTTGTAAAATTTACCATTTTCCTCTCAAGATGTTCTATCAACTATTTAAAAGAATCAAATGATAAATTTAGCATATGCAGACCCCCTAGGGATGTTTGTAATTGAACAAAGAATATTATGATAGCTGGAGAATCAGCAAGACTCACTATGTCAGGAAGCCAGTCTCCCAGGAGACTGAGAGGTTTAACATCCTTCCATATTGCTGTTAAACTGTTGATTATCCACAGAATTATTAGAATAATGAAGGTGCAATGCCATTCTCACATTTCCTAAGTCTCAAGAAAGCAATGCATACATATGAAGGAAGCTAATGTTTTACATGAAAGGGTTAGGGTATCAATGACTGAAAATAACTTTTTCCCAACCAAAACAGTTTAGTAATATTTTGCCAATGCAAGCTTTGCTCTATCTCTCACTAGAGCTGGAACTTGTTGCTTCAAAGTAACCAATGATGTCACCAGTCTACAGTAGATATAATGAAGAAGAAAGAAGGAGGAGGGAAAGAAAAAGAGGAAAGAGGAAGGAGGAGAAGAGGAAAGAATCAAATTAGCACACGGGGGAAAGGTAGACAGAAGAAAAGGCTGCAAGCAGGTGACAATGAGGCTTGTGGAGAGCATTTCCAACATGCTCCAGCTATGCTGGTACACACTAGCACTTTTCTCAGCCTCCTTTGGTCTTTGACATACATTCTTCCTGCCAGTCTTTTCTCTGCATCAGTAAAAGGTGTCTACATTGTCTCAAGAATTTACTATTTCTAACAGAGGATAAAATTTTCCCATATGCTAATAAGTAGCAGTCTTACAATATTTAAGTTATGATAAACAATGATAATGTATGTCTTGGAGTAAATGATACATATATACTCAAATGTAACTGCCATAACTTTCTCCAAGTTCTTATCAACCTCCTTCCTTCCACTTGGATCTATGTTAGTATATTACTGCATTGCTTAATATCTGAATTATATCTGAAGTTGAGCATGCACACAACCACGCCAGATTTCTCATAATGAGATGGAAACTGGAATGTCTTGCCCTGTACATGGAGTATAAATTCTCTTAAGGCATTTGGTACAGATTCTGTCTGGGCACAGAAAATGGCTCTGCTTCATCTTGCCTCAAGGTCAGAGTTCAAAACTGTCCTTAATAAGTCAAAAGACTTCAGTAGTCTAAGACTAGGCTACTATGTGTTTTGACCTTAGTGGAGGTTATCTAAATAACAACAGACTTGGGCTCAGTTGTGTTTAGTCTTTACCCTCAAGGGCAGATTTGGTGTGGTTACCAAATGCTTGAAAGATTAAGGGAAGAAAGTCTGTTTGTGCTCATTATACATGATAATATAAGTCTTTTGCCATGTCTCCTTCTGGTTGGGATATTTAAGAATGTTGAAGAATAAACTTGGGGAGTTCAGTATTCACTGAATTGACCTCCTGAGTCTATCCTGTGTTTCTGTCTTCTTTGAGTCTTTATTCGCCTTTTCTCAATCCACACTCCCCCTCTCAGGTACAGACAGAGCAAGTCAGCTGAATCCAACTAAAGGCCCACAAAGATAGCTTCCCACCAGCTGCCAGCCTTTTATGACATCTTATTTTATGATGTATTTCCAAGCCTTGCATCAAACAGGAAATAGAAAAAAAATCAAGGACAAAAACTGAGTTCTGGGAGTAACACATTCGGAAGCATCTAGCTCACCTCCATTTTCAAAAGCAGCAATGTCAGTCCTTGGTTTCCTATCCAATGATGTCTTTGCCTCACCCGGCCTTTCAAAGAGGCTAAACTTTGTTGGAACTGTAAGACCATCCCCTACAATGGGAGAAATAAAAATTTACTCCAGCAACCTACATTATAAGTAAGATTGTGATAGAATTCACAGTGATAGTTAAGTAACTTAAACATTAATATATACTCAATTTTCATAGTGATCTGGTGAGCAATTTATAAGCACATTTATTTCAAGCTAATTTTGTAAATGACAAAAAAGCAGAAGTGTATCATCCTATTTGGATTGATAACTAAATGGCCATGTGAGGTTTAAACAATCTTACACTATTGTATGAGGGAAATATCTTTAGTTTATTTGGTGTATCATTGTAATAAACTTGAAATAATTCTTTTGTTTCTGCCACTTCATGATTAATTTAGCAGACAGTATTAAAGTCATTTTTATTACTGATATTTGATACTTAAATTATTCTCCAAGTTTTCATTGTATATAAACAAATAAATCTACTTTGAAAATAAGCTGTTGGCATCAGAATGAGAAGAGACATAGTAGCCTAAAGCAGTGTGAGCTTCTGGATTAGATAGTATACAAAAAAGAATGAATTCACTTTGTGGATATTATTGGCATGGCTGGTGAAGTTTGGGAGGTATAAACAATAACACCATTTCACAGGAAATTCCTTCACCTTAATCTTTGTGCTATGGTTATGTAAGAGTGAAGAGCATCTTATCTTCACTGGCAGCAGTTCAGAATATAGTAATGACAGTGTTCATATTTACTCTGATAGTAAATAAAAACCCCAGAAGTAGCAAAATATTTACATTTACTGCTCTATCTAAGCAGTTCTCAACCTTTTGGGGGTCAAAACCCTTTCATATTTACATTTACTGCTCTATCTAAGCAGTTCTCAACCTTTTGGGGGTCAAACCCCTTTTTTTGGCATCAGCCAATATCACAAGAAAACACAGATATTTGCAATACAATTCCTAACGGTAGCAAAATTACGGTTATAAAAGCAGCAACAAAAATAATCTGGTTGGCGATCACCACAACATGAGGAACTGTGTGAAGGGGTCACAGTTAAGAACCACTGATCTAAGCGAAGAAGGAGTTCAGCAGTTAACTTTTTGAAAGCACCACAAGGCAATATTTATATGTATGCACTTGTATACATCATTTGTTTTATAATCTTCCATTTTTAAATTTAATTGGTAGCTTTGTCTTTTGTTTAATGCTTGTTTTAAGGTTTCTGGTGTCTGGTTTAGTACAGGCGCCAGTCTGCTACACCTTCGGATGGTCTATTGCTGCCACCTTCTGCCAGCCATTTAAACAGCTTGCCACATGCAGAGGGAAGGCAGTACAGATGCTCTGTTCTGTATCCATCCGATCGTTCTCAGCCTTCTTCATTTCTTGTCTTTGTTCTCCCTTCTCTCTGGTAGCTCCTCTCTCTGCATGCCCTCCCTCCTTCCTGCCCTCTAGAGTATCAGGAGCAATGAAATTCTCTTTCTACCACTACAATACATACACAAGCTCACTCTGAAGCCAGGGAACCTACATAAATTTTAAATGCTTGTGGACTTTTCTTCAAGGTCCTGCTTTTCTATACACAATACAATGAATGCTCTTTGTCTTGCCTTCAACAGCAAGATGCTGACCAGAAGAAAATTCAGGAAATGCATCGTGAAAGAAAGAGCCTAGGACTTCCCATCAAAACTGCCTTAAAATCGCTTGATACACAAAAGACAGTCAGTCATTCAACAGACAGACTGCTATTTTGTCACTGACAACATTTTGCCACCTCACTTTTGTCCACATCCTGATCTGGGTTACCCCTTCCATTCAAAACAAAACAGCGAGTCCCATTTCACAGGAAAGATGTACGGCTGACACAGGAAGACAAATTATTTACAAAATTCCTGTGTGGAATGAGAGTTGCCTGTACCTCTTAACAGCAGCCTTTCAGGGGAAATTTGGGTCATCCAGTACAAAGCATCCTCCTCACTCTCAAAACAGATGTATAATTTATCATTCAATCCTGCTCTGGTGTGCACCATACAAAATAAATCAGGGTCCACATGAAGTATCACTTACACATCACCTTGAATATTAGTGTCTCGTTTCTTACCTTCTTGCAATTCACTGCCATTTTCCAAAGGCTTTTCTAACTCCTTTTCCACTGTAGGAGCTACGCTTTTTGATGACGAAACATCTGGAGGAGCATGGAATCTATAGTATTCACCTAAACTCCCGTGAGAAGAGAATGGTCAGCATCGGGAGCCTGTCAATCATCAGAAAGTCCACAAATATTTGATTTCTTACCAGATTTGTAACACATCTCCTTTATTGCTCTTTTCTCTTCAATCTCTTCTGGGGTCTTTGTCCATAAACTAGAAGCATCTATAGGATATATTTTTTTTAAATTAAATTGTCCCAAATCCAAATAATCTGAAAATTTATAAATCAGAAAGAAAAATCCCAAATATTGTTTTCATGAATGGACTGTTCTTCATCTAACGTTTGAAGAAAAAAAAAGTACAAACTTGTATTTCCAAATGCTTCCATGTTTAGTATTTGAAAGAATCATCAAAGAGAAATTATATATTCTGTGCTCTGTGTCCTAAAATGAGTAGCTGAAAGCACAGACTCACTGAGATGATGTGTGGTAGAGCATGTGGGCGAGAGAGAGGAAGAGGTGATACCTGGCAAAAACAGTGAAGAGCTCTGTACATTCCTAAGCACAGAAGCTATGGCAGTTGGTACCCACAGAAAGATACAGGGCAGAGACAAAGTAAATTTGCTTTTTGTGGTGTTCATCTGAAGTTTATGTGAATGACTCCACTGTGCTGTGAGGATGTGTAAGAAAAGGGAAGGACCGTGATGCAGAACACATGGGTACTAATTCTGTCCATATTTCTCTACAAAATATCATGGATGATACGGATGGCAGACAGTACTTTATCAATTCCAAGCTATTCCCTGGATCCTTAAATCTCAAAGGACTAAATGTCATGAGAAATAGATGTATGTACAACAGTGTCACAACAGTTGTCTCTTATGAGGGTATCTGCATGTCTGTCTGTAAGTACATGCCCTTAAACATGGCATATGTATCCCAGCCATCATACAACAAAACCTCTTAGTCCAAAGAAGCATAAGCATGTATAGACAGAGAATTATAAAATACAATTCATTTCTTTAATAATATCAGTATTTTCTCAACAAATATATATATATACACATACATATACATGCCTAAGCATCTAAAAGCTGAGGAGCATGTAGAAAATAGTGAGGGGTTTTACATGTGTACTGTAATCCAAGAAAAGGGGTACTAACCATTTTGTTCCTCTTCTTCCTCCTCCTCTTCTTCGAAGTTAGTTTTTAAAACTAATGGATTATGAATGGGCCGTGATACATTCTCCATGGGTTTCAGAGGTTCTTGACTCTGGCTTGGGGGTGGATTTCCTTCCTGACTTTCTTTCTGTAAGGTGGTGTCTACAGAGAAAACACAATGCTTTAGTCTGTTTAACCACTTTTACTGATATATTCAGTATATGACCAACCATTCTTTTTTGTTTTGTTGTTTTTTGTTTATTTCTTTCTTTCTTTCTTTAAGAAAACAGAAATAGTCTCATGTCCTCTGGATGTGATAGAACTGTTGGACTCATCAGATCATGGTAGCTGCGGTTGCCTGAGCGAGATCTGCTCAAAATCAAGCCCATCAACATCCCAGTGTGGAGGGGTAAGGGTTCCAAGGCCCCTTTCCTAACTGAAGAGCTTGACAGTTAATGATTTCTGAAGATGGAAAAATTCTTTTGCTTTATTAGTGTGGTCCTTGGTAGGTTGATCACACTCCAGTAGATTGCCCCTGATCCATGAGTATATGGACAGAAGTAATCCATGAGTATATGGTCATGATGGGTTATTTAAAACCTAACAAAATCAAAAGCAAAACAACAAAAAAAATTGTGGGTGGAAAGATGGGAAGTAAGGAGTGGATCTAAGAGGAGTTAGGGGACGTGGGTGCTGTATATTAGCAAAATACACTATATAAGTGTCTTAAACAACAAAATATATTTAAAAGCAAACAATTTTTTTAAAAAAGAAGGGGCTGGATATATGGCTCAGCAATTAAGAGCACTGACTGCTCTTACAGAAAAACCCAGGTTTAATTCCTAGCACTCACATGGCAGTTATTGCCTGTAACTCCAGTCCTAAGGGATTCAACATCCACTTAGGGCCTCTGCAGGCACCAGGAATGTACATCCAGACAAAGCTCATACAAATAAAACAAATACAATTTTTAAAATACCATTTTTTAAAAAGAAAAGAAAAAGGAAATAGGGTCTGGTATCCACTCTTGGCTTCAAACTCACATTGATTTTTAAGTGGCTTTGATTGTCCAGCTTCTATTCCCCAAAACTGGGGTTACAGTTGGGTACACTACACATGCTTTATGTGGGGCTGGGGTTTAAACCCAGGCCTTTGTGTATTCTAGGCAAGCACTCTACCAACTGTGATATAGCCCTGTCCCCTTAAACCATTATCTTTTTAATTAACTGTATATTAAAACATTTCTCTTATTTTTAGAAAGATTAGGCCAATTTAATAAATATCAACATTTTGTCAGTAACTAAGGGGAAAAGTGTCATTTGCTATACTTTGTCATTGTGATGAACTGGATGATGAGATCACACATTTTGTGTGGTATATCACTATGCATTTGGTCCCTGCTTTAGGATGGGTCAAATTTACAATGCTGTGAAGTAACAGGCATTGAGCAGAAACTGTACTTTGAGCTCTGGATTTTAATCTTCTCTCAAGATGACAATATTCTCAGGATAATCCTTTTGACACTGGGCAGTGCGTGTGAGCACAGATCTCCGTCTGCAACATAATGGAGAAGCAAAGGAAGTGGGTTGGGAGTACTAAATGCATTTTTAGCTTATGACTGGTTTGTTGAGATAAACCCCCAGTGTAAACCGAAAGTTGTTAAGTGCAAACTGATCACAAGTGTTACTTTTAGTTACAAAAGAGATCTGTGAGAGGAGGGTGACTTTACTTGAATCACTTTGTTTTGTTTTGAGACATGAAGTCCTGCCGGTGTTGGACTCATGCTCACATGTAAATAGCTGGTGATGACCTTAAACCTTGTATCATTTTCCTTCCATGTCCTCCCAAGTGCTAGGATTATATGTGGATAGGAGGAGCTGGAACAGTGAGCATTTTTTTTTCTTCGCTACATCCTCAGCCTAACACATTTTAGCAATTACAAAGAGAGATGCCACAAGGCAGTTGGATAGTATATATGTCCAAAAGAACAAAGGATCCAACAACTCCAGGCTGGAGATGGAATTAAGTTTGCTAATCAGCTAACTTTAAAATTGGCAGAGTCCATGCTAGAGTGAACTGAATTCCAATGCATGAGGGAATGTGGTGATCAGGAATTGTGAACATGTCTGCTTCCTCCATTTCTGAACTTTTGACAACAGGAAACCACTTTCTGATAATCTCTTGACCATCCTTTTGTAACCTTGCAAGTCTGAAAACTTTGGAAACCTACACCTTCTCCTTTTGTTTTTGTTTTAAATGCCATCTTTAAGTTGTTTCTCTTTTCATAATCGGCAATAAACAGCCAGGAGAAAGCATAAGGTACCTTGAGCACATAGTTGTTTCTTCTGGAGGATATCCTAATTTACCATCCCAAGTTCTGCCTTCCACAGTCTTAGAGCATGCCTATAATTCAGCTGAGGTCTTTGTAATGTTTCTCGTTTGTGTCTCAGATCATATCAGAATTCCCTTAACCTCACATGCCTCTTTCAGCATTGTGACCTTGACCACTTATGTGGTTTCTAAAACTGCCTCCTTCTACAGTTCTTCGCTTCTGAGTTTTTTCTAGAACTGCCTTTAAAAGTTCATTCATAGAAAATCAGGCTTTTTCTAGCATTGACTTCCAACACCCTCTTCCAAGTACACATTTTTAAGATGGTTGATTCACAATGGCAATGATAATGGCAGCTATGTTGAGTAATAGGTATGAAGCTGATACAGTTTGGAAACAACCCCATGGCACAGACACCATTGCTGCATCCTGCAGATGAAATAACTGTGACACAGAGAGTTGCCCAAGGTTATGTAGTCAAGTGTGTCAGGCAGGCTGAGATTCTAACCCAGTGTAAACTGGAGTGATCATTGTCTTTGCTAATTCTACTTCCACTGTCTTTGTCTGGTGTTTCTGAAGCAACAATAGTTTATGGAAAGACACTTCTGAACCAAGAAGTAGTGAAGGAAAACCTGCATCTGAGATCAGCCCTGTCCTTAATCTCTTTGATTACATAAGCCCCAAGTTTCCAGATTTTTCTTTTATTTAAATTTAAAACAACTTATTTTACATACCAATCTCAGTTCCCTCTCCCTCCCAAACTCCCATTCTCTCCATCATTTCCCCATCCCATCCCCCCATCCACTCCTCAAGGAGGGTGAGGCCTCCCATGAGGGATCATCAAAGTCTGGCACATCATTTGGGGCAAGACCTAGGCCCTCCCCCATCTAGGCTGGGGGAGCATCTCTCCATAGGGAATGGTCTCCCAAAGCCCATTCATGCACTAGGGATAAATACTGGTTCCACTGCCAGGCCATGTTCAGGGGGCCTGGTTCGGTCCTGTGCTGTTTGCCCAGCTGTCAGACTTGGGTCCCTGAGCTACCATTTGCTCAGGTCAGCTGTTTCTATGGGTTTCCCCAACATGGTCTTGACCCCTTTGTTCATCACTCCCTCTCTACACCTGGATTCCAGGAGTCCTGCTCAGTGCTTAGCTGTGAATCTCTGCTTCTGCTTCCATTCAGCTACTGGGTGAAGGCTCTATGATGGCATTTAAGGTAGTCATCAATCTCATTATAGGGGAAGGGTATTTAAGGTAGCCTCTCCACTATTGCTTAGACTCTTAGCTGGTTTCATCCTTGTGGATCTCTAGAGATTTCCCTAGAGGAAAACTTAACATGAATGAGTTTTCAGCTTAACATGATTAACTAATATCCAAGACTTCCCAGGGTAGAATTTATAAGTGAAGTAGAGATTCTTGGTGTCATGGTGCTTTTATTCTACAAGGAAGAAATAGACAATAAACAATGCACAGAGCAAACAAATTATACTGCATCCGACAAGTTAATGGATGTGGCAAACATGAACTAGAAGGGCCAAGGAGAATTGGAAGTGTATATTGTGGAGGTGGGGCAGCAGGCTACGTTTCAGTCATGGCGCTAAGCACAGACCTCATGCAAGACAATATTTGAGCATAGTTTTGAGGAAATGAAGTAGCTCTCCACAAATATATTGATGAAAAGGCACTTCCTGAAAAGTCTTGAAAACAGGAGTATGCTAACATGCTCCAGGAAAGGCAAACAGGGAAACAGACAGTTGGAGCTGAATGGGAAGTATCTGAGTTTGGGGGAACTAGCAGAGAACTTGATCAAATAACTTTCCAAATTCAAGCTCTCGTTAGGACTCTGACCTCTCTGAGTTAGATGAAAAGACACTGGAGGATTTGGAGTAGAGGACTAAAACCTGCTTGATCATAACACTGCAGGTACTGTACTTTGAATAGACATAAAGAGAAGAAGCAGGAGGGAAAGCAGGAGCTGCTGTAACAATACAGTTATGAGGCAATAACGGTGGCTTGATCCATGTGGAGATTACACAGATGATGGTGAAGTCTGGCTTTGATATAGCTGGATGGTGGAATTATGTCTCTTTATGAATTAGATGTGGGATATGACCAAAATTTGGGGGATGATTCAGATGACCCAAGCAACTGCAAGACTGGGCTTACAGTCAAAATCAGTCAGAAACAGTGATGGATGGCACACAGTTTTGAGAGGGTATGGATAAAATCATGATGTCAGTCTTGAACATGTGAAGTGTAAAATGTTCATTAGTCATATAAGTCAAGAGATAAAGAAACTGAATTCAGACATCAAATGGTTGGGGGTAGGTCTCAATTTGGAGTGGTATACAAAGAGAGTCAATGATGTGTGAAACATTGAAACCATAAAGTTGAGGCTGGAGAGAGATAGCTCAGAGGCTAAGACTATGTCCTATACAACCATGAGGAATGGAGTTCAGATCCTAGCACCCATGTGACAAGCTGGAGTCCTGTAATGGCCTATTACTCTAGTTCTATCATATCTGACATCCTCTTCTGGGCTCTATTTGCGCTCAGGTGGGAGCACTTCGAACACACACATGTACATACACTCACAAAGACATGGGCCGGGCACAAATAAATATAAAATAAACCTAAATGAAATACTAGTGAAGAAAAGGAAAGAGGACTAAAGTGATGAGAAGTGACAAAATAGTAAAGAGGTGTGACTGTGATCGAGACCCATTATGTACAAGTGTGACAATATTAATGAACCCATTGTTATGTATAATTGACATGCGATAAAAACATTAAAAATAAAAATAAGATTGGAAAGGAGACAGAAAAAAAGAATCAACAACCTCCTGGGATACTACCCATGAGGCATAACTGGCAAGGGCAAGTCACACCAGACACAGAATGAAGGCAGTATTTAGGTTTGCAAGATGCTAAGGAATTAGATGAAGGGAGAAAGAGATGTCAAATGTGTCCACTTCTAATAGCTCAAGTTACAAAAGGACTCAGATTTGACTAGTGTACTTTATAATGTAGAGGGGCCAAAGAAGAAGCCTGATTATTAGAAAAGAGAGGAAGATTAAAAAGACAGAGGAGGAGGAAACGGGGAGGAAAATAATTATGCCAAGAATAAACAAATACTTTAAGAGCCACTGCAGTGAGGGGGAAAAAAAACATGGAGTAGCTACTTGTGAGAGATTGGATTGATAAGAAATACTATTTAGTTAATAAAGAGATAAATACATATTTTGTATGATGACTTGGTAAGATTCAAAATGGTTGTGTGGAAGAATTGCTGAGTTTATGTTTGTTTAGTTACCAAGTGGGAAGATAGACTAGATAGACAATGATAGTTCATTGTGGTAAGTGTAAAAGGGATAGTAGTTGTTATGGTAGTTATGTGGGTAGATGGAAACCTGTAGAAATTCCTACTCACTTCTTAAGTTATTCAATAAGATATTAAGGTCACCATCTGGGATGAGGAAATGTTGGAAGATGAATTAGAAGGAAGCAATACAAAATCAAATTCTAGAAGAAAACAGATGTACATGGGGACTAACAGAGAGCATGGTTGAAGTCAGTAGTGTGGACTCATATGAGGTCTGTGGCCAAGAATTGAAACTCCATCAGCATGGTCACGTGTTTTCTTTAGACACGAGCAGTTTAGTGTGTGCAGACACAATATTGCTGGGGAGTCATGTACCAATATTATGGCTGTAGGGATGGTTTGCTGCAGTTAGTGAATGGCAACAGATTGGGAAGTGTGTGAAAAACATTGGTTGCCAGGGAGACTCATGAGAAGATATTACAGGGCTAAGTGATTGAAGAGTTGAAAGCATAGAGAAGCTAGGGTGATGCGAACACACATTCTCACATTGAAGTTACCAAGAATTAATAAAGTGGTACTAATATAAAAACAATGATCTACAAGTTGCATATTGTTGAAAACGGGTGAAAGATAGATGAACACAGCAAAAGCAAAAACAATGACACAACACTAAGCAACAAAATAATAGAAATATTTAACATCAGATTCAGACTGGACAGAATTAGAAAGAAGTGTCAGAAACAGTCTGAAATTGGCATTAAAACCCAAGAAAATCCCTCATCTCACACTAGAGCTGGTGGTACTTGAGACTTGAAAGAGAGAGAGTTGGGGTGGGGAATTGTTGGCCAACAGTAAAGAGTGCCATAGGAGAACCATAGTCCTCAAGGGAAAACTTCTCACATAAAAGTGTGAAAGATGCAAGAAAAACTCAGAGAAGACAGAATTATGCTGACAAAGAGAAACTGGAGAAGAATGAGTGAAAATGACAGAAGGACAGGTGAGTACCAGTTTATAGTCCCTTACATTGATTGACATAAAAATAAAAGCCAGCATGAAATTAGCTGTACTCAAAATATAAACACACAAATGCACACAGTGAACCTATGCTGGATAGATAACGTTTTGTGGGGAGCTCTCTCCTGTCTTCCAAAAAGTCAAGGAGATTTAAGGAAACGGGGCATTATTTGTTCACACATCCCTTTAATATTTTCTCATGATGAGATAGACTATTTAGGGAAAGGGTTAGACTCAGTGCATGGGTGTAGATTTGACCCTATTGAAGGGAGGCTTACACCAAGTGTCATAACACCTGTTGGGAAGGTTGGTACTACCAGAAAGGCAAGTTCTATTTACAATACACAACAACAATTCAACCAAGAGCACTACAGCACCTAGCCCAGAGCTCATTTTAACAGTGGAAAGATGAATGATTGTCGTTTACACAGGCATCTCACACAGCTCTGCTCTGAGAAGAAGCAGTCTTTTGTTTCCCGAAGTCTTAAAAGAGCTAGTGAAATCCATGGGATTAAACTACCAGATAAAAATAATGTCCTGGGATTGTTTTTTTACTGGATAAAAACCATACTGTTGTAAATTAACAAAGCTAAGTTAATCCTTTTCGTAGCTTCAGTACTTTCATCCCAGTAAGTTTTCACACCCCACCCATTTATCTAAGCAAACAATTTACTGCACATTATTTTCTTTATGGTCCAGATATTACAAAGCAATGGCAAACAAATTAAGCTCCCCAGTCTACAGATGCTTTCAGTCTACTGAGAAAGAGAAACAGTAACAAAAGTATTGCATATGCGATGTGCTTTATGAGGTCAAAATTTTCCCAAAGTATGTAATAAAAGGGCTAAAGTTTTAGCTACCCACTTATTGAATTACACAAAACTAATCTTTTCATTCCCAAAGGACTAATATCTTATTCTGTTCATATCTAAGACCATTCCACCAGAGACAAATAGTGACCATAGCAGAATGAGGTTGCTACAGCATCAGGGAGACCTTGAAATCAGCAATATCTCTAACAAGGTTCCCTTAAATACAAGGTCCTCTGTGTTCTGGGAAGAATCTATGTCAAGCCTCACCACAAAGGGTCGTTTTCTTATCACTGCAGACAGTTGCTGTGACAGAATATTGACCTTTAACCCAGAGCATGCCTTTGCTCTCCGAACCTATGACAGATTCCTGAGCTTTTCACCTCGTTGTATGCAACTGTGCCTCCTTAAGCTTTGACACCAAGACCAGATGATATGCAGTAATTACAGATATACTCACTGCTACTTGGTGGCAAAAATAATCCATTGATATTTCGGGGTTTGCTGTGGTAAAAGATACAACTGATCTTCACACAACCAAGAGGTTGGGTTTCCCAGAAGCATGAAATGCTGCAGTTTTGCTAGAGAAAAGAAGTGGGAAAACACAATGTTTAGGTACTCAGAATAAATGCAGGCTGTTAGAACACAATGCTATGTGACAAAGAATAGCTTAAATTGCTGACTGAAAATTATCTGTTTCCTCCATTTTACCACCTCTAAACTTTTCTGTTTAAGAGATAAAATGTTCTTTTTTTCCCTACAAGTTTAGTTTGAGCAAAGTGAAAAACACTTAAATTTTTTTGGGGGGAAGAACTATTTCTTCCCTATTTTGTTATAAAAGTTTAATGCAACGGGGAAGGAAGGAAGATTATTTTAGTGAAAATGATCAGCCATTTTACCTGCATTTCCATGTGTCTAAATCTGCAAAGTGGATCTAAACATTTTCTCTCTCTCCATAATGAGCACACAGTGTCACTGCCAAGGGCTTCTTCACAGTGTCGGAATCGGCACTGGGAACCCTAAGAAATCAACAATGCAGAAGACACACTACATTAATGTTAGTGTTTGATGACAACATGCTAACCAATTAAAAAAAGAAGGAGTCTGTAAAATTGGAATCATGAAAAAATACACTGTCAATACAGGCTTGTAATGACTAAGTTGTCATAATTCTCTTTTTAGTGAGAAAGTGGTAAGAAAAGGTCATGATCAAACAGTACAACACACCACAAGTTAACTCACCACAAGTTGACTCATCACAAAGTTACTCTCAAAAAGCTGTCCTTTGCATCAAATGAGCCCACAGAATCCACAAGAGCAAAAGTGTGAGAGTAGACTCCCTTGATTGCAATATAGCGACAGGGAGGCTTTATTTCTATTGGCAAGTATCTGCAATGTACTAGCCACATCCTGCATGTGAAGACAGGTTCTACCAACCACTAAGGTTTGAATACTAATGGCCAAAGAGTTTAAGTTTAGGTTTCTAGCAGAACTGAAAGATGCTTGCCCAAACAGAACATCTATCATTTTTTTATGTTCATTTATGACATGAGCAACAAATTTATTCATTTTTAATATCCATTAATCCCAATTAAATTTTTCCACTTAACATTTTAACTGTGGATGATTTCTTTATGCTACATTCTATCTCTCTTCACATGGTATTTAAATATTTGCTGTTACTCAAAACTTCTGACAGGAAAAATGCAACCACTGTTTTAATAAATTTCAAATAAGGAAACAAACTACAGCATTGATAGTGATCTGAATTCAAGTGTTTAGTAATATACGACTGAAGTTATATTCACCAAAATAATATGCTATATTGTAAATACCATCATATAGCGCACATAATTAGGAATTTGATGCTTAAAGAATAATATATGCAAAAATGTGATATGAAAACTGTCATGAAACTGACTATATATTTATATATATATATAAAGAAGTTTTAAACATATAATACTTTTAAATTAATCCAGATTTCCTCACGTAAATTCAGGATATCAAAAATACACAGGCTTTTACTTCAAAATTAAGGTATCTTTTTATTGCTGTTTCTTCCTTCATTCTACTACAAAGCTTAAGCATGTGTACTGTAAGCTGTACAATATTTACCTTTATGCATGTGGAATTAACAAAGAAATAGCAGTCATTCCCAACTTCTGCCATTTTCAATCTCTTGCTGCTAATCCAATGATTGTTTTTTTATAAATATGTACAAATTGCAGGAACGCAAGTATAAGAACTATCAGTGTGTAAGGGGAAAAATTGTTCTTTTCCACAGCCTTTCAGGCTATCAGCAGTATTCCTTTAAAACTGACCTCCTGGTGACAGTATATTACACAATAGATAATTCTTAAATAAATTGAAATTAGAAGATACCTTCTCTAGCTTTGCAGAAATGTTGAAAGTGGTTACTAGTAATCACACAAACTCAAACTTCCAGAATTTTCCCCATTGTTACATAATCCATTGTTTGCTCATCATAAATGACCTCATATGCAACTGTAGGCTATCCACCTAAGGGAATATTTTCCTTACCCAATATGTAACAAGAATGAAAACAGATTATCCATAAATTTAACACTGTATTTTTATCTTTCAGTGTGATGGTTAAAGAAGGAACACAAATTCGTATTTTCAAAATTAAAATTGGTAAGTATTTCATGAGGAAATAGCTATTTCTATATTGGCTTGGAAATGGAACTAACATAAATATGCTATCTATATTCCAGGAAAATAGATATACTTATTTAAATAGGTTCCTGGCACTATATACATCGACTTAGGAAACATCATGGCCAGATTGTAACAGTAATAAATGTACAGGGAAATAAGTAGGAGTACCTATTCATCCGGTGACTTTATTCCATTTTCATCCATCATAAGAGGAGGATTAGCTTCATCTGATAGCAAGGGCTCCAGCATGCTTGAAAACTTGGAGAATTTGTTGAAAACAAAGTGCAGCCTCTGATTCCCAGAGGGAGATATTTCAATCATCAGTTTTTAAAGTTTCTATCTGAGCATCCTTCCTATAAAAATAACCCAGCAGAAATGAAGAACATTCTTCATAGGTCACTTAGAAGTCAGCTGGAGATGACTGAGTACACTAGATCAAAGTATGTTTTTAAATTACTACAGACTTTTAACTGAAATCTCAAATGATTGAGACAAACATGGATTTCCACTTTAAGTGAAACGGTAAATTGCCTTGAACTTTTTGAGTCCAGTGGTCTAGAGTAATCTAAAACTAAACTAAATTTAGCAAAAGTTAGTTTGCTTATAATGCTAATAAAAGGAACGAGGCAATGTCTTAGGTAAAGAATAGATAAAGACTTGGCAAACCCCTTGAAATTTTTGATAAACATAAACCTTGCATTTTGGTTTGCCTTTCTCTAACTCTGGAAGAGCAAGGTGCCCATCTTAGTAGGCAAGTTGGAGACATTCCTTTAAGTGTGTGTGTCTTCAAGTGTTCATCTATCCCCAGAGAAGTTCATGACTAAGTGTGAAGTTTCATTAGGTGACTTGAAAATGTTGCATAAAACACTATTAATGGGGAATTAAGTGATTTCACAGGGAAAGGACTGAAAAATCCTTTTACCTCGACAGCTGATGACTAGCCCACATTCCACTAGACATAGCAAAATCAGCTCAAAATCACAAAGGGATTAAAAAAAAAAACTTTCATTGTGCAGCCCACAATGGGTATCTTCTGTTAGTTTGGGATATCCAGAACCCTCCTCTTTCCTTTTCCTATCCCTTAGTTTTACTTTTCACTTTCACCTCATTTCCATCCTATTGTGGATTTCATTTTAGTCTTTTACAGAAACCTGTGAATCTCCCTGTAATAAAAAGTGATAGGAAATTTGTCTTCAAAAACAGAAATCCTGGCTTGTGTAGGCCAAGACAGACAGATGGAATTTTTGTTGGTGTGTGCTAGGTTACTAACAGATCAGAGAAGAAAAATCTTCCTATTATCCTGTAGCACCACTTTAAGGTTGGTGGCCAGGGGTCCTACTACCAGCTCTGCTCTATCTGAATTGGGGGAAGCTGATGGCTGTCATCCTTCAGAGTGGGGACACAGTTTATAACTGTAACCTGATCCCATGATGTTATCCTGGTAAGGCTTCTTCTGTTTCTGTCAGAAACCTTGCTCTAGGCATTGAAGGGACCGGAATATTGCTGCTGGTTCTTCCAGAAAGACAGGCTTAAAGCAAGTAGAATGTTTTTGGAAGATCATCTTTTCTAAGAAATGGCAGAATGTTGGATCTAGAATATTCTGTGACAGTTTGGGAAGTGACAGTTGAGAGTTGGAAAGGTCATTTGATTGTCTGAGACCCAAGAGACAAGCTGTTGCTTAGGATTCCTCTGGAGGCTTAAAGAAGTTACCAGTGCTTGACTTCAAAAGGCTAAAAAAATTCTGGTTTCAACACCACAGAGCCAGAACCATGTGGGTAGTCAGTTCTCCCCACCCCAACCCCTCAGTTTCTTTTGTTTTGTGTAAAATTGGGTGTGCTTGCCTATGATAAAAAATTATATACCAGAAGAGAAATATTGTGAAATGGCCAACTTCTTCCTTACTCTCTCCCTCCATTGTGAATCCAGCAATCACAAAACGGTGAACTTGTTTTTAGGGATACTTTATTCTTTGAGAGTCCCCTGATGTATAGATACTTCCAAGGGAGATAAGTTATTTATTTTTTTCTAAAATCTTAAGTAAAATGCTGGGCAGTTGGAAAAATGCTGATAAACCAGTTATGGAAATATAAATTGGAATTATAAAAACAATTATAGAAATAAAAATTGGCTTTTCCAATTACCTAAGATAGTAAGGTCAAAATTCTCCCTATGGTCTTAGGCTTCAGTGAGATAGGTCTAATACTATAATATAGTATTATTTATTTCTTATATAAGCATCAGTTTTTTTTTACTTAACCATCTAATGTCATTTTGGACAGTCAAGTAAAGCAAGCTATATATTTAGCTCTATAGTTGATTGACAACAACTCAAGCCTTTGTTGGACTCTCACAAAAAACTTTACAGTGCTGGTTTTGAATTTGACTAAATTTTACTCATTGGAAAGGACACTGTGGACCAAATTATACACTGTATGATGATTAATTCAAACAGAAGCTTAAAAAACAAAATCCAGTTCTGTTCATTGTAGCGTTTTTCTATTGCTCTTCCTGGGAAATCAGGCTTTCTGTCTGCACGTTAGGAAATGTCTGGAAATTCTTTCAAAACTTCTCCGGGTTTATAATCCCTTTAATTTCTTAAAGAAAAAGCAGACAAATGAGTTTCAAGAGAAACGCTCTAAATTGCATCCTAAAGTGATTCATCACTTACAACTGGGTGTTAATTTCCAAGAAAATCATTGTTACAAAGCTGTGACCAAGAACACAACACCGGGTAATGGATCTTTTTTCTTTTCGTTTTAAATTGCTCATCAAAACATAGAGGCGCCAGCTCTGTAGCCGCACTACAACTCCCAGAATGCGCCGCGAATAGGCGGTCGTTTCCTGGAGTGTGTCCCCACCCTCGTAGACCTTGGCAGCGCTGTTTGGTTCACCGGGCTGCACCGAGCACTTTTCTCCCGCTGTCTGGTTTTAGGATTTCCTCAGGCCAGGACCCAGCGAACTGAACACACGCTGGGCGTGGGCACCATGAGCCGCCTGGGCTCGGTGCAGCGGAAGATGCCGTGCGTGTTTGTGACGGAGGTGAAAGCCGAGCCCTCGGCCAAGCGGGAGCATCAGGTACCCGGCGGCGTGGGCTGCAGGGCGAGGGCTCGTCCTGCGCTGCGCCCCGGGAGCCCTGTAGGTTTTCCCGGGGAGGTTTGGGTGAAGTTCTCTCGTGTGCCCTGAGCTCTAACTCCTTCAACCTCGTTAGTTGTAAGAAGTGTGGGTGAGATTCCCTTTTTATTTTCCCCTCCCAGATGAGGTGATTCAGACTTGCTCTGCAGGTTTGGAAACCCACATCGCAATTAATGCCTTTCTTCCCACGTCAGTACCTTTGAGTGAAGAACCTGAGGAGTGAGATGTCATGGGAGTCTTAACTAGGAACGACTGTCGATCAAGAGTCTGACGAGAAGGCATTGTTTACCTGTTGTGTCCTAGGACCCCATGGCAGTGTTGACTGCTAGCCCAACCAACCAAGTTGCTAAAATCAGACCTCGTGTAATTTCTTGCATAATTCTAACTTTGAGTTCCCGTCCTAAGGTTTTCTAACCATCTTGTTAGGCGTTTTATTCATAGTGAGCCTTGATGTGTAGCCAAGTTTTTAACCTCAAACGCAACCAGTGTGTGCATTTGGAATCAGCTCTACTCTTCACCGTTACGACTGTACCACAGGCCATCCTTTTCTTGTTCTTGTGTTTTTGTTTGTTTTTAATTACCATGCAAGTAGGAGTTTTTCCCTGAGGCATTTTCGTACATAATTTATGTTGTCTCCTCTTCACCTCAACAGTCTTCACAGTCTCCCCCAAGTCTCCAGTTGGCACCCCCTTCCCCACGGCCATTACTTCTTTCACTTTTGAGCTCTATTACTCACCCTCTTTTAGAGCCTCATTTTTCTTCTCTCAGGGGCCCCTTTCTTGCCTATAGATTAAATGGACTTAAACCAAGATGCCCTGTTATCTTTTAGTCCCTGCTGCCAGGAACTGACACATGAATTAATATTTGTCTAATTTTAATTCAAAGCACTTTGAGAGTTTTCGTGGCAGTTTTCCATCAAGTTGTTGTTTTCTTACCTTTTTCTTTTAACATCTGATCTTTTCATATTTCTTCCTATTGCAATCATTACTACACTACTTAATAGGTTGTACTGAATATCGCTATATTTTCTAGTAAAGCCCTAAGTTAGTACTCAGTGTCTGTATTGTTGGCTATTTACAACAAAAAATCATAACAAGCCCAAGTACTATAACTCATTTTCAAGTTTGATAGTTCATTTTAATTGTGATTCTCAGCTTTGAATATTGGGGATGGGACATAATTTTAAAAGCACTAAATACTAGGGAAAAAGCCTCATCTCTTTGCAGTTAAAACTGTCTTACAGTAGTGTTTACAGTAGTGTCCAAATAATTATTCAAAATCCCTTTTTAATTAGGTTCAGTCTATTTTAAAATCTCAATGTGGAGTTCTTGTTTTTGCATTGTCTTTCATCTTATGAATGTATCAAGCACATTCCTGTGCATTAATGTTTTTTTCAGGCTTTCTATTCTTTGAATCACCTTCGGTGTTTTTCGGTAGATCTTAATAGAACTCGATTAGCTTAGTCATCCCAGTGTTTAGCTGTATCCAGAAATGTCACACCACCCAATTGATCCTCATTGCCTATTTTTATACACAAATGCCCTTGCTTTTGCAGTAGTAAAATGTTTGGATATCATAGGTGAAGGACTAAATAGCAAACAGTAGTAGACAATGATCTCTATGGAAGGAACACTTTGTACTCATTAACAACTTCATGGGCATAGTAATCCTCGAAATTTCATAAATTTAAAAATGCTTGAGCGTGCACATACATGCACACACCTGCTTTTAGACTAGCATTTTGCCACAGTGTCTTAGAATGATACCTCTTGGTACCAGTGTCATACATATATAGATGACAAGTTGACCCTAGACCTGGGAGATGGCTGCTACAGAGGCCTTGAGGACCTGAGTTCAGATAGCCAGCACCTACATGTCTGTAATCTCAGAGTTGTAGAGGGGGATACAACAGAGCCCTAGAGCTTACCTATCTGAACCACTAAGTTTTAAGTTCAGTGAGAGAGTCTGACACCCAGTTTTTTCTGGCTTTCACATGCACTAATGCATGCATGCATTCACACACACATGTTCACACACACATACATACCTATATCTCACACAAATAATAAATCAGTAATGAAATGAGTATAGCCTCATAGTCCCTAATTTTGTCTGAACTACCATTTCCTTCTTGTTTTGTGTACTTTTATTTATTTTGTAAAGTGAATGCTCAGATTTAGACTATAAAATAGTAGTCTTTCTCAGAAACCAAAATTATAGCTAAGAAGTTATAAGACTCAAAAGCAGTCATTTCTTCTATCCTTGATGCTTCATTTTCTTTCTGACAACAGCAAAGTCATAAATGAAACTTGTAAACAGGTCATTGTTGGTAAGGATGAAAAGAACAAGAAGGGAATACCTGGCAAAGCAAGCAAACTCCATAGGGAAACAGCAGGCAAGTGATAATTGGTAGTTTTTTAACAGTGGAACCTGAGTAGAAATAGACACTAAAATCACCTCAAATGTTGAATACACATTCTGCCAGGAACTGGGTGTTTCAGTCCCAAGAGGGACTGTGGGCCACTTTTGGTCACCTGGGGTAGACTTATAAAGTAGTTACTGGAAGTTTCAGCCAGGAGGCAATGGCTGTGAGCCTTGATCCTTTAAAGCTGGCCTCCATGCTAGGAAAATGCATTTTCATAAAGAAGAGTCACAAACATAGTTGAATGGGGAGCCACAGAGATTTTTAGATGGTCATCTAAAGTAGGCATGTGGATTTCAGCTTTGCAAGAAAGCCTTTTGAGAACTAAAAATAGGAGCCATGTTCACCTTTTCATTTTCTGAAAATGGCCCAAGACAGAGGGCCTCACTAGACTCTCCCTATGACTAAGAACTAAGTGTGATTTGAAAAAGGAAACTGTGTAAAGATCTCATTGAAGAGTAGACTAAGTCTTGGAGAACTAATAGGTGAATCCATGTGTTGAGCCACCAGGGACACTCTGGAATGAAATAAGCCTATGATCTAGCTTTACCAGTACTCCCTTCCAAACACAGTGGCTGACTTGCCCTCTTCAGCCACAGAATGTCCTGACTGTGGGCCTTTACTCCCTGTATGTCAAATCTGCTCAGACTTCCCTGTGTCATTCTACCTTGTTTTCCTCTTTAATACACAGCAGTGTAATACTGTTAGCATTTTATTTCTGTCATAACCCTCTACAGTGTAAGTTTCACTAAAGGTGGGTACTTCTCTGGGTTTCCAGTGTCAAGGACACTGCTAACTGTGGTTAGTGCATAGTCACACAATAGGATTGTGCAAGTTGGGCCTGTGCTGAGGATGCAACACAGTGTAGGGCATGACTCCCGGTTTCATTGTGGTGGATGAGAAGCATGTAAATAACAGTCTACTTGGAAAATCAAATTTTACTGTGATCACATGGCCTGTGGGGGCGCAGTTGTGGTAGGATAGGAGGGGAATCTTGGAAGTAAAGCAAAAGAGGATCATGAATTCAAGGCCAGCTTGGGCTGCTGATCGAGACATGGGGGACAACTGTTTAGAACAAGTGAAATTAGGCAGTTCAGGTGAGCCTGTGAGTGAAGGCACAGGCTGTGTCTTTCTTTGTGTCTTTTTTTTTTTTTTTTTTTTTTTTTTTTTTTTTGAGACGGGGTCTCTCTGTGTAGCTCTGTAGACCAGGCTGTCCTTGAACTCAGATATCCTCGTGCCTCAGCCTCTGAATCCTGGGACTAAAGGCATGCCCCACCACTGCCCGACTGAAACTATGTGTCTTATACCAGTTTTTTTTTTTTTCCTCTTCTTTTAAGCCATTTAAAGTTTTGGCAACTGAGACTCTAAGTGAAAAGGCGTTAGATGCAGATGTATACAATGCAATTGCAACAGAAAAAGTGGATGGAACGTGTTGTTATGTTACTAACTACAAAGGTAAAATACAACTGTCATGTTTACTAAAAGTATTATCTCAATTATTGTATAAATCCTGGACACCTGTGAACTCTAAAAACCTAACTGTAGTAAAGTTAAAAAAAAAAATCACAGTGCTTTTATTTACTTACCTTTGAGAAAGAAAGACATGTGACTAACATTAACTTGAAATTCCCATGAAAGGCTAGGCAGCCTAATAAACAGGTCTTGTATGTTCTCATTTTCATAAACCTTTCCATACCACTGATGAGGAAACTCAGTCTCAACCAGGTTCAGTAATTTGTCTTAAGACCATTCAGTTAATGAATGGCTGAATAGCAACAGAACCTGGGGTGGCCCAGCCCTGAAACTTGTTCTCATTACACTACCCCTGGAGTTTCTAGAGCTCTCATTACCATTGGCCAGGTCTCCCATCAGTTATAAACTTTTAAATAGAAAGCTCACATTGATGGTATTAAGGGGAAAAGGTACACTGGAGACAACTATTGTTTGTAATTACTAATGGATGGTGAGATTGACTCTCAGTTCCAGTAACAAAAATTGGTAAATGAGCTAGAAATGTCCTGAAATGCACTTTAAAATCCTTCACCTGTGAAAAGATAAAACTTGCCATCATAATTGTACTTTAAAATGGTGTGTAAGTGGCATTAAGGACATTCACATGGTTGTAGTGTCACCACCATTCATTTCCAGAATGTCATCTTCTAGAACTAAAACTGCTTGTTGGGAACCCCCTCATGCACTCCCCCATCTAAGAGCCCATTCCCTCAGTCCTCTTAGTCCATTGAACTTTCTGACTATAGGTAAGTCATATAAGTGTCTCTTTGTGGCTGGTTTACTCTTTCAGTTCAGTATTTTACCATGTTGGATTCTATCAGGTTGTATACACTGTTTTAAATTGCTCAATATGTACATAGCACTTTTTGTTCATCCATTCAGTCACTGATAAGCATTTTGGTTGCTCCAACCTTTACAACTATTATAGATAATGCAATTAATAATGCTAAATTAGCCTCCAGTTTTTGGGGCTTGTGAACCTATACATGGGATTAATTCTAATTGAGAAAATTTGAGTACCCATTACATTTTTCATATGGTCTCACAGAAGTTCTAGCTTCAAGATATTCCAGTTTTTCCATACCCCACTAGGACTATTATTATTATTACTACTATTATTTTTGTCTAGCCATCCTAATGGATGGGAGGGGAATTCATGTTATATGTTCACCAGTAAATAGAACAAAATGTCTACAACCAGAAACAGTATGATTTTAATCTAGTTAAAATTATGGATAGCTAGTACATAATGATATAACTAACAATTTTTATGAACCTCTAATTTATATATTTGAGTAAGATTTATCAGGCTTTATATTAAAAAACTTACAGTGAATCATTATGTGTGATGTGCATGATGGGAGCAATTAGAGGGTTGGAGCTTTGCTGCTCAAGAATGCTCACAGGACCAAACATGACAAACGGGTAGATAAATAACAAAATAAGGATTTCAGAATTAAGACTGCCACAGAGCAATAGGTGTGGAGATGCCAGGGAAGATCTGTACTTTGCCCTGCTTTATAGCCACAGCAGGACACATTTCCTCAGGGTAGAGACCACTGATGTGTTCAGGTAACACTTCAGAATCAGGAACTAAAGGTGGAGTCCTGGTTGGGGAACTTCCTGCTGTTGCTTGTCCTTTAGGCATCTTTCAGCTAAGCAAGCATTGGCAACAGCATAAGCCGGAGTCTCAGTGAACCAGAGGTGATTCAAAAAAAGTCACACTTTGAGCAGTACAGAATATTGGCACAGTGCCCTGAGACTACTCACACCCAGGGTTACAAGCGACCCTCATCATCAACGCATCTAATGACTTGGCCATGCCAGATGGGTCAGCTTGATTCTGTGTGTGCCAGAATTAAGCCCACACTGCAGTGTGATAATGTTCAGGGGCTGTGGGGTGTGAATACAGTCCCTGGTTCTGCTCTCACTGGGAGAATTTAGGAAAGGACCACACTCTGATAAAAGCACCATGCATTTTCTCACCCTCTTCATTTAACAAAGTACATCCTCACACACTGGGATGAGGGCTCAGTGCTGAGCATCATGTATTCCATTTGTCTTTTAGGATGCTTTCTTACAGAGCTTATTGCTTTTTTCTCACTCTGAAATCTCTTGCAACATGAATTTTGTTACCTTTTGACTTTTTCTTTTATTGCTACATTTTTAGGCCAGCCATACCTTTGGGCTCGGCTAGACAGAAAACCTAACAAGCAAGCTGACAAAAGATTTAAAAAATTTCTACATTCAAAAGATAATTCAAAAGGTTAGTGAGTTTTCTTCATACTTTTTAGATTTAAAGAGTTGAAATTTGTGTTTTATTGCTATGATTCTTCTCTATCCACCTTGAAGAAAATATATATATATATAGTTATATATATATATATGCATATAGTACATAATATATATATATATGTACATACACACACATATATATATACACACACACACATATATGTTTACTTATGTATAAAATATTCACTTTTAGGGATAAAACCATTGGCACAGTGGACACACACACACACACACAAAACCATGCACGTACGCACACATGCATGCACGCACTCACTCATATACTGGAAAACATTTTCCCAACCTTTCTTTAACTACTTTCTAGTACCAATCTATTCTGTTTAAACATACAGTGTTGTAATAAGAGATACATTTTCATTTGGTTTGCATGAAAAAATTTTTCTAAGCTTTATTATAAATATAAAAATGTTTTTTATTATTGCATTAATAACTATATTATATATTTTTATACTTATAGATGTAATTTATAAAGTACTGTACAAAAGGTACATGAAAACTTATAAATCTCATTCAGAAGACAGGGGCAAGTGGATCTCAGAGTTTGAGGCCAGCCTGGTCTACAGAGCGAGTTCTAGGACAGCCAATATTACACAGTGAAACCTGTCTTGAAACACCCAAAAAATAAAAAAAAATTAAAAACTCATAAATCCTCACAGAATGTTGGCTACTTTAGACTGTAGAGTGTATAAGTGGTAGTGGACTGAGAGTTGACAATTTTACAGTGTTAGTTCCCTAAATTGGAATGTAGCAGATGGCAATGATAATTGAGTACCTTTCCCATCTGAACAGCGATGTTGTACTTCCTACTTCTACTTTGCATCTGTTCTATTTGATGTCTTAAAGTAACAGCATAAAGATGAACTGACTCTTTGTAGCGTTTCTTTGGAACATGGAGGAAGATTTCAAGCCTGTCCCAGAGTGCTGGATACCAGCAAAGGAAATAGAACAACAGAATGGGAAGCCAGTACCTGATGAAAACGGACACATTCCTGGTATCACATCATCATTTTGTGTTTAGTATAAAAATCAAGGTTCAATCAGTAATTTGTTTTAATCTAGCTTTTCATTTTATTTATAGTGCAAAATTTCTGACTCAAGTTTATTGAAAAGTCTAACAGTTTATATCAGAGACCTAGGAAAGAATGGAAGGAATGGCCTTTCAGGTTTTAAGGATGAGCATCTTTTGGTCAGAATGGCTTGTGTTTCATTTGCAGCAAGTTTTCCATATTGAGGGAGTTGATTCTAGCAATAAAAGTAAAAACAAATAAGGAACTAATAAACTCTTCAGCATGACTAGAACCATGATATAAACTATGGAGTGCCTGCTACACATATTTGTTGTCTTTGACACTGGAAGGATGCTACAGAGAACTTGCTTTATTAAATGAAAAAAAAAAAAAATGACACTTCCAGGCAGGAGGGAGCGTAGGCAGTTCAAAAAAGTACTAAAATTAAAAAAAAAAAAAAGTTTTAATGCTATCTCAGTATAGTGCCTAGTTATTCCTGAACCAAGAGAATTTTTTGAAGAATGTGTTTAATTCATGGCAATACCCCAACAGAATAAGCAAATGAATCCTTTATGACTATCAAGAAAAATAGTGAAATTCTTAACTTTCCCACTGATCTTAAGTGTCTGTATGACAGGGAATTTAGAAAATAAGGAATATTTATAACCAGTAAATAAATAAATGCCTGTATATTTTAATAGACCAATGTGATAGAAGTAGCTTTTTTTTAAATAACAGGTTGGGTACCAGTGGAAAAGAACAGCAAGCAGTATTGTTGGCATTCCTCCGTAGTGAATTACGAGTTTGGAATTGCCCTGGTACTAAGGCATGATCCTGATGAGCCTGGACTTTTGGAAATTTGTGCCGTGCCCCTGTCAGAGCTTTTAGAGCAGACCCTGGAGCTGATAGGAACGAACATCAATGGAAACCCATACGGTAAGTGAAGATGTCTTCCAGAGAGAACTTCCTTTGGTCAACTTAAGAAGCATACAGAAGCAACGACCGATGCATTTGCATCTGCTTCCTAGGAGCACATTTGTTTTTTTTTTTTTTCTGCAGCTTTGGTGTTCAAGAGAAAATTTATGTATGACTAATCATTTTGATTTATTAATGTGAAAGGTTGACTTCATCCTATTATTTCCCTTGACAGCTCTACAACTGTGCATGAAAAGTAATTACTGAGGTGTAGCTCTTCATGGCTTTATAAATTTTAGGCAAGTTAGTTGGGTGAAAATGCACTGCTCTGTTAGGTCATTACTTTAACATTAATAAACACAGGCATGAATAAGAACTGGCAACAGATACTGCATAAAGAATGTATACCCTAATGAATTGAGTAAATCAGTGGCATTGTGGAGTACAGAATTGAAAGGAGACTCATAAAATAAAGACTCTAAAGGGGCAGTATTTCTAGAGAGATCAAAAGCAGATTGAAGGTGTAGGGAGGTAGCCCAGGCCATAAAGTTCAGGTCCCTAACACCTTATGTTAACAGCTGGGCAATGATGGTACATGCCAGTCCCAGAGCCAGAGAGGCAACAGATAAGAGGCTATGTGAGCCTTTTAGGGCAGACAATGTAGCCTAATCATTGAGCTTCAGGTACAGTGAGACACACCCTTTTTTCAAAATATAAGGTGGGAAGCAATTGAACAAGATATTCAGTGTTGACCACCTGTTTCCACCATGCAGCTGCACAAACATGCACACATCTTTTTTTTAAATAACAGGTTGGGTACCAGTGGAAAAGAACAGCAAGCAGTATTGTTGGCATTCCTCCGTAGTGAATTACGAGTTTGGAATTGCCCTGGTACTAAGGCATGATCCTGATGAGCCTGGACTTTTGGAAATTTGTGCCATGCCCCTGTCTGTGGAGAACATCTGTTCTCCACAGAAACATGTATGTGACCATACATACACACACACAAATTTAAGTAGGTTGATTGATGGGTATTAAGCTTAATACAGGATCATAGATGATGTTAAGCACTGAATAAAGCAGAATATAGCTAATGAGATAGCACATGCTAGCAAATTTCTGTAAAAATGTTGGCTAACAAATATTTCAAAATAAATATTTTAAAGATGTATCTTTGATATGGACTATATCAGTAGTACTTATATGAATGGATAAGGCTGCAGTCAGTGTGCCAGCTCCCAGTGTAGAGAGTACATGAAAGTGGAATTTCTAGTTTCTTGGAAAAAGTGTCACATTTGAGTGAGAACAAGATGTAATGCACTTTGGATTATTCTCTACAGAAAATCAAGTAAACTTTTTGATAACATTACTCCTAAATGTTTATACATTTATACATTTGGGGAGGTAGATTTTCTGAAAGGAATATGATTGAACATGGTTAATAGCAAATTTTACCATTTAGGGCTAGGAAGCAAGAAATCGCCATTGCACTTTCTTATACCACATGGAGCATTTCCAGTAAGAAATCTGCCTACACTGAAACACAATGACTTGCTGTCCTGGTTTGAAGACTGCAGAGAGGGTAAAATTGAAGGGATTGTATGGCATTGTGGTGATGGCTGTTTAATTAAGGTAAGGACAAAAACAGCTTGTAGTGGATTTTGCTCTTAAAGATGTGATACTCAGACTCTGTTTATAGACTTTATTAGTTCTGTGTAGGGGAAGCTGTAGCCACGCCTTCTTAGGGGCTGGCTTTTCTACTATGGTAGCTGGGTACACTAATGGTGTACGAGTAACAATCTTAGAAGAATAGTCACGATACCTGGGTGGAGTAGGTGCCTGGGATTGGAGTGATTCTGCTTCTGAGGCATCCCAGATATAGTAGGAAATTACCAATACGGAGTCAGATAGAAATATAAGGGTATTTAATAGGGAAAAGCCTTGCTTACAGAGCGAACCAGCCAGCAGGTGATAGTCTGTACAGCAAGAAGCAAAGAGAAACCGAAACGGAAAACACAGACCCCCCTACTCATTCTGACCACGCCCTCACAAGCCTGCCCAGGTACTCCTGTAGCCAGCCCCTAAGAAGGCGTGGCTACAGCTTCCCCTACAGTTCTGGCATGCAGTTAGTATATTTCCCTATAGTTCTTATAGGGTAAAACTGAATTGAGTTTATGGGAAGTGTCAGACAGCACTATATACAGATGGTGGTGTTGGGCTGGGCACTGGCTATATGTACAGGATGTGCTCTAGAGTTAGTGATAGGGCATTTATTTGGCACACTGTGTTCTCCGATTAAGACAGCACTTCTAACTTACTAGGTAGGGAGTTTTGTAGCGAGAGATCTAACTGAAGACAGAGAAAGAAAGGATTCCATCCAAGTGGGGCTTAGTGGGCCAGTGCCTTTATTGGGGCTACTTACAGGAATCTGGGTAAGGAGCATGGAGGACCCGGAGGCAGCAGGATCAGTAAGAAGCCCTCCCCAGCTTGAGTTACAACTCACAAAAGCAGCATACTGGGGACTCCCTGCTCTGGTGTAAGGAGAACCTTCACTCCAATTGTTAGTGCTCCTGTACCCTTGCAGAGAATCTTGGAATCTTAAAAGCTTCAGGACTTGTGAAGGTTTGCTTACTTCATGAGTCCAGAGCCTCCCTCCAGAGGGGATGTTTTCATGTGGAGGAAACAGCTACAGCAATGTCCCAGCCAACTTTGATCCTGACCACCCTACCATTCTACACTAATACTCCACGAGTCTAGCTCTCCAACAGACTTATAGTCATTACATTTTGGAGGAGCCCTTGATTCTACTCTATTCTCATGGGAATACTCATATTCTAATGGGAAAGGCAGACAGCACTATGTCAAAGAACAGCTATGACATTTAATTAAAATAAGTGTAATATAATATAGATCCTTACACTGTACCTGGCAGGTAGCAGGCACTCAAAGACTAAAGCTTATGCCACTTTTTCCTCTTTACAGGTTCATCGCCATCATCTTGGTTTATGCTGGCCACTTCCAGATACTTACATGAATTCCAAACCAGTTATTGTTAACATGAACCTAAACAAATATGACTGTGCTTTTGATAATGAGTGTTTGTTTAATCAGTTTTTGAAAAAAGATAAACAGAAATTTGATAGGCTTAAAGATATAATGCTTGATGTATAAAATGTTTTCTAATATTGATGAGTCTTCTGCTATGTTTACAGAGGTTAAAGTAACTGAAGGTTCTATTTAATTTTGCTAGATATTTGGTAAAACATGTCATAACTAAACTAACATATTTATAAACTAACATATCTATTTATCAAAATTATAGGATTTTAATATCTTGAATATCTTAACACAAATATAAGTATAAAATAATTACATCTGAAGCTTCAATTTTACAGCTTACCTTTATGATTTTAGAAAATTTAATTATGAAAATAGGAATATCATAGCTCATTGTGTACTGTATAGTCATAAGTTATTCACATCTTCAAAAATATACTTTTCTACCAAGTTAAAACTAAATATGATTTTATTTTTAAGCAAATATACAGTATTTTGACATGTGAATTCTGTAGTAAAAATGGGTCTTTAATAAATAGGGAAATTATTAGGACTTTCTCCAGGACTTTCTCCATCTTCCGAAGCAGCAACAGGGCTAGGTAATTCAAATCCAAATTGCTCAGAAAGTTTTTTTAACTTCTGTTCTAAGAGAATATTTTTTTTCACTTCTTTCTTATAATTGTACTTCAGGTCTTCAATTTCTTCAAAAAATGAAGGATCAAAATTTTGCAGTTCTTTTTTCAGCTTTTTAATTTCCTCCTAAAAGTCACATATAGGAAGATTGGATTACAAACAAACATGAAAACCCACATAACTTGAACAGTAAATACAAAAATATTTACCTTTGTACCATATGAATAACTTAATATGTGTGCTTCCATTATAGTGAGGTCGAGTCTTTGAACTGTGTCAGATATTCTGTTAGGCAAACAAAAGGGACTCCGCTCTTCACTGCATTGAGATTACTGTCTTATTTTCTTACTGTCGTATTTTCTTTAAAGTTCTGTTTTTACTTTTATAATATTTATGATCATGGAAATCCCGGGGCGTGTGAGGGGAATGTGAGTGCCAATGGCTGTTTTACACTGGCTGTTTACACTACCCAAGCATGAGCTCCGTCATAAGTAAAGCACAGAAGTATTTTAAGGGAAAGATCCTGAACGTAATTCCAAAAGGTACTTAGAAAAACTGTTGCCATGACCCACGACCCACAAATTAAGAAAATACTAAAAAAAAACATGTTGAGATACATTTGTTATAATTTAAAAATAAATTATTCTCTAGACCTTTCTATTTGTCTGTTTTTTGTTGTTGTTGCTAACTAAAAGCTCTCTATATTAAAGTAAGTAAATTAAGTCCATGAATTTTTGGGCACATTCCATTTCCCACAGCTGTTCTTAAGTCAGACATAAGTAAGAATTACCTTCAAGTGTTGCTTGTCTAGGTCTGACTTTCTGAGCTGTGTCTCTAGGTCATTTACCTTTTCCTTTAGTTGATCAGGATCTGCCAAAAATAGTCATAAAATTAGAATGAGTTAAAGATAGAGGGTTAATTTCAGAATAAAAAGGAAATTTATGAAGCCTACAGTCTATAATCATCTGGCACTGTATGGTGGGAACACTTCTCAGGTATACTTGCATGCTACCACTAGTAAGTAAGGTCATTCCATAGCAAGAAAACAGAAAGTGGGTTATTCCATAAGAGAAATTTCTATTTTTAAGAGCAAAATCCTCCTAATACCAGTAAAATTTGTTATGTACGAAATATTTGAGGTAGAAGGCAATAACAGCCAGCTTAGTTTTTTTTTTTTTTTTTTTTTTTTTTTTTTTTTTTTTTTTTTTTCACTGCGTGCAAAACTTCCAAGGCAAGGTGTGTGGCACAGATAGAGTATGGCCCTGATGGTTTGGTAGGAAATCAGCTGTTGACAAGGGGCACAAGGGTTAAGATATCACACTATTGCAATCATTGAAAGGTAGTGTGAGGTTTCATGACAAGGACAGAAAAGTGTATTGTAGTGCTCATAAAGATGTAATATTTGATATTTGTCTTCTGAGACTGGCCTATTTTACTGAGCAAGATGATCTGTAGTTCTGTTTTCCTAAAAATGTGCACCACATTTTATGAGTATATCTGTTGATTGACACACAGGCTGATCCTATCATCTACTTACTATGAGTAGTGCCCCAATAACATGAGTATGCACATATCTGTTAGTTTGTCCATGGTCAGTGAGCTCCTTTATATTATATACAGAGTGGTGGTGAAACAATAAAGCAAGAAAATACAACATTTTCCAAAAGTGTTTTAAATGTCCACATCTTTAAATGTTGATTTAGCAATGTCCAAACAGGTTAATGTTGAAGCAGGTACTCTCTGAAATGTAACCTTTCCTCCTTTCTCTTACCTCCTTTCTCTTAAGTACATAAGGGCTTGGGTTTAGACAAGTTAGAGAACTTGCCTAATGCCAACAGGATAGGTCTTTGTTACTGTGTTTGTTACAAGTACACCCAGCTATCCCCTAGCAGTCACATAATCTATTCCAGATGGATGAATGCCATTTTTAGTTAGCAAAAAGCACAGCAGCACAGTGGTTAAGATTCTGCCATGGTAAGGAGTTCTGAACTTTCAGAGAATTACCTTCCAGTGCCACTTCCTACTTGTGATCTTGAGGATAGGTTATTAATCATTTATAAAATGTAACATGAAGACAACAATATCTATCCTATGGCATTATAAGAATAAAGTGAAAATTTTGTAAAGTCCTTAGCATAGTGTCTGGCACAAATCATACCATGCATTAATACAAAGTAGCATCAGGACACTACAGTAGCTCTATGAAATAATTTAAAATTATTCAGATATAAATTGGTATAATCCTGTAGGGTAGAACATGACACTTCCATCAGATTATCAGATAATGGCATGATTAGGTTAGAAGCTACAGGGTAGTTATTCCAGAAGCTTTGGAACTATACTAAAATTCCATCCTGGGGTAAACTCACTATCCATTCAATAGTGTACTACAGAATTATGAAAAAAATATGATGCACAGGTCTTACTACAAGAGAAGCTATAAATACATAGTGTGAATCCAGAAAAAAATCAATATACATTAAGGCCAGTTCTCTTTAACTGTTAAAAGTTTTATCCTGTAATCTTGGTGCAATTAGCAAATATCAAACCACAGTTCCTAGGAGAAATGCAAATGCATGCAAACACATATACATAACTAGAATTGTCAACTCACCCTGACCTATTATATTTTCTTTAGTCTCAAAAGAAAACATTCCTAAGTGTTGAGCCACCTTTCTGAGGTTGTCCCATTGAAAGTGTCAAAGCTATGATTCAAATTCCTATTAGTCTATAGTGGTACCCAGGACTCCATCCTAGATCACCTCTGGAGGAAAACTGAAACAAGAAGGCCAAGCACTACCTTGTTGGCCCTGATGTGGGAAGATGGGGGACTGTTTAAACTTGTCATTGTACCTGTTTGCAAAAGCATTGAATTGATTTTGTGTACACACACAGATGTTTTGTAAGTAACTGTTATACAGGGGAATGACTGTTAATATCAGAATAGGGGTTGAAAGGAATAAAAATAACATTTTTATTTGCAATAGAAAAAAATAGCACTGTAGTTTTAGAATTAAAACAACAATTAGTAACATTCAGAAGAATATGTTCATAGGGATTCAGAGACCTACATTTAGAAAGTGGAAGCACAGGACAGCATTTAGTGCTTGATAATATACTATGATTGAGACTGTAACACCTAGGTGGATCACGAGGAGAAAAACTTAGGCCACTTAGTATAAGCAATCTAAGTGTTAAATGGGAATATTTTCATAGCCTGAGAGAAAATAGCTCAAAATACTCTTGTCAAGAATTTGATACTATAGAAACAAAAGACAAGCCTTAAATCAGAAACTTGGGATAGCCAACACGTTTTATGAAATATATTACCAGGTGTGCTGCTTTCAGCTCCAGTTTGGTCCTTGTTAGCTTTTATCTGATGGATTAGTTCTGCCTTTTCTTTATCCAGCTTACTATTGGCTAATCTAGAACACAATGACAGCATGTTAAAAAAATAAGCACTGGGTGCCAGTTCATAAAGTAGGTAGGCATTTCCTATAAAGTAGTATACGGTACTCAAAACAGCATTTACCAAGGGCACAGCTGAGTCTGGTCATGTATGCTGGGAGGATATGCTTAAGAGATGGCAGCAGGATCACCAAGGGAAAACATTTACTCTCTGGGCTTCATTGCTTCATTCCCAAACAACACAAATTCTAAGTTTATCCTAATCTCACTCCTGATGTTATTTTCAAGAGTGCTTTTCTTACAATGAGAGGAGGCTGCACAAACTCCCAGAAGGTAGGATTACTTGTTTTCTTTCATTATGGTTTGGTTCTGCAATGCCAAAGTTTAATTCTGTGCTTCTAGAAAAACTTAAGTTACGTTCTGGAAATATTAGTATTGGGTTCCTCATCTTTAGGTGTGGCAAATTTGGCTGTATAAAATAATTTTCTAAGAACAAATGAACAATAAGGAGTTCAGTGGATTTCAATTCTTTGAAGGAAAGAACCAACTCTTGCAAGTTGTCCTTTGACTTTCCTTCACAGGTGGCCTGCACATACCAAACCCCCGCCCCCAGCATGTACTTGTGTACACATGTGCATTCACACACACAAAGGAAAAAGAAAACATGTTAAAAAAAATACTTAAGTAGTCAACTAAACATAATAACATGTACCTAAGGAGCTGGAGTTCCTGGATAAGCTCTTGATCTGTCTCCACACCTTCAGAAACGTTTTTGAGGATCTCAATCTTTGAGACAGAGAAACATTAGTTAAGAGATAAAAGATTAGCATGGAAGTAAAAGGCTCTAAAAAGACCAACTTTTAATAACATTTGGGTCTTTGGAAACATGAAACCACAGTTCTGTGTTCCAGTCTATACACTCAAGCCATCAATGCTTAAGCAACTCACTGCTGCCCAAGGTAGTGAGGACACAGCATATAGAATAGCTGGAATATCTTACAGAGGCGTTTGACTTTTACTCAGGAAGGAATATTAATTTCAGGTGTGTGACTTTTGTTTATGTTGCATTTAACTCTGTGAAGCTGTGTTACTGTGCCTGTCTAACACACCTGATGGTTCTAATAAAGAGCTGAACAGTCAATAGCGAGGCTGGAGCAAGGACAGGTGGGGCTGGCAGGCAGAGATATAAATGGAGAAACAAGGAAAAGGAGGTGCAAGAGAACAAGGAGAGGAGGATGTCAGGGGCCAGCCACCCAGCCACCCAAGGAGTAAGAGTGAAAGTAAGATATACAGATGTAAGAAAAGGGAAAAGCCAGAGGCAAAAGGTAGATGGGATAAGTTAAGAAAAGTTGGCTAAAAACAAACTAAGCTAAGGCCAGGCATTCATAACTAAGAATAAGCCTACATGTAGGATTTATTTGGGTACTTGGGTAGTGGGCCCCCCAACAGAGCCAAGGAGTAAAAACCAACAACTGTACTGTCATATGATGAGATGGAATGTGACAGGGCAGGATGGGGAGAAAGGACTGTCCAGAAAAAGAATCCAGGGAGAACAGGGTAACAGACTGCTGGTCTAGTCTCTGAAGGGAGTCAGAAGAATATTCGGGATAGTGACGAGTGTTCTAGATGGCAAGCAGGTATAAAGAACTGAAGCCTAATAGAGTTGCAGTTGTTCAGAGGTTTGAGAGAGTTAATGTTGGGACACCTGGTAGAAGATGCAAAGTGTTCGACCTTGTACATAGACACAGGCTATGAAAAAAAATGTTACCAAGTTTCATTCCAGGGTGATGGGGAACTACAAGAGTCTCAGAATAAAACTATAATTTGCTCTATGTGTTACAGGATTATTTGATAACTTTGTGGAGAATAGTAGTATAGAATAGGTGAAATGATGCAAGTGGAAGCCCAGGGACTAGTTAGGAAATGACTGCAGTCACTCAGGTATAAGACAATGGCTTCCACACTGAGCACTAGATGTGGAAAATAAGAGAATGAAATTGGTGATGATCTAGTTTGGGCTTGCATAAGAAGATGAGTTAAGTACCATTCACTAGCTGAGTCTCCTAGGAGAGACATTATTCAGGAGTTCAGTGTATTCACCTTCAGGCAATTCAGGGATTATCTTGAGATATATTACATTGTTTTATCATTTAGAGACTATTACATGTACATGCCTGTTGTTCAAGATCTTCTGTGTATTTCTTAGCTTTCTGTTCTCTCTCTGTTGCTTCTCGTACAAGCTGTTTAAGG